AATACACGCAAAGAACTAAAAGTAATCACTGGTCGGGGAAAAAAAAAAACCTCAATGAGCTTTATGCACCTGGAAGGTACACATTTTATGATATTAGACTAGACTTAAAAAGATCTCAGTACACTAAGCTCGTAAGCCATTCAGGAAGCTGTTTAAAATGTAATTAGCCAGTCATTCTTAGGTGTGCCACAGCCATGCAGTTGATGGCACCGAGCACCTGTCTGTGGAAATAGCTCACTAATGCTGTGCATGGGTGCATGTGTGTGCTTGAAAATGCATTATGAGCCTGTGTATTTGCAGGGTATTTAAAATTTTTTCACTTAAATAATATTTGCCCCATCTTAGGACTGACTGATTTAATTTAACCTTTCTTATGAAGCTAGCTATCTCTTTTATCTACCATTTGGGAATAACCATAAGCATGTGACCTGGCTCGGGCAATGGCATACATCATGGCATCATTCACATTTCTACTATATTATCGTTTCTCAAGATACAGTCGAAGATCCTTTGTATGGGAATAATCACCTGGGATGATTGTTAAAATACAGATTCCCAGGCGCTACAGTCACCCAACTAAATCTGGGGATGGGTGGGGGTGGGTTAGAACGGGAATCTATATTTGTAACAGGAATCTACGTAATTTTTAAGCACACTAAACCTTGAGGACTAGCACACTAGGTCAAACTTTCTAAGACAGGCACTCCCTCATATATCACTGAGCTGGCACATGGCACACAGCTAGTTTATGGAGTGAATCAACACATGTAAATGTAGAAATTTCTAAGCCACAAAGAACTGAGACAACTTTCAACTCAGATTCTAAGGGACCGTGGTTTAGGTGTTTCTCCTCAATGGCAAGAAAGCATCGGAAGCAGTGTTGTGTGCTGGGGCAGATCACATCATGATCACATCACATCATGCTCACCCTTGTCTCTCCAGCGTAAGGAAGCTTAGGAAATATTTGCAACATGAAGCAGGGCAATATGTCCTGGTATGAGACAAGGCAGAGCAGTCAGACAAGTTCCATGGGCCACGTCCCCTGCTGCTGTTGTTTTCGAGAAGCATTATAAAAGCGAAGACATGCTATATAACCTCGGTGGTTCTAAGAGCATTCTCGGTCAAGGAAAAGCAGGTGCTTAGACCACTCTACAGGGTTACAGAAAATTGCCAGGCTTGGATGAGATGTAAACAGGGGAACCACAGGATGTGTTTTGTTGCTAACTCTCTCTTGGGATGTTCTGTAGGTATGAACATTTTATGTTTGTTATTTCTGAGGAGATGCAGTTTGGCTAAGACAAGTCAGTGACCTGCCAGGTGAACCTCACCGTTGCTGGTCTGTGAAACAACACTTGAGGGTGCCAAACACAGTCGATCCTCATTATTTGCTGTGGTTATGTTCTATGGTCACCACCGACACTACGTTTGTGAACACGGAACACCCCGTTCTTGGGGAAATACAGGTTAGGCTCCAGAGAGCCTCTGGTTACAAAATTTCTGGCAACTGATTAGTACATAACCTTGTTTTATGTGTGTTTCTGTTTAAAGACACCTCGTTTAGTACATATGGTTGATTCATTAATAGTGAACCCACGACCCAAAGCACTGTAACTCCTGCCTGAACAGAGCTTATCTGACAAGTATTTTCTCCGTAAGGCACATCACCTTCCTGAGCTCAGGAACACTGGACAGCACTTCAGCACCATGCTAGGGGGCCAGAGAAGGACCCCTGTTTACAGCACGGGCTGAAACAAGGAGGCAGAGTGTTGCCTGTTCAGCCTCAGATGGGAATGTGTGGCCTCAAATTTTTTGCTGCTTTGTGCCATGTCCCCAAATGACTGTAAAAGCACCTCAGTGCATGCTGATTCTGGGGTAACAAAGAAATTTTAGCAACTGGGCAAATAATGAGGATGGACTGTATTTTCCAGTTCCCCACTACAGTCCCTTTTGGCCCCGTTCCTCCCTCGCTCCGTGCCATGCGGGCCGACGCACCAGGACTGCTGGCCTGCCTGCTGGGCTCAGCCAGTGGAAGGCCAGCAGGAGACTGGTGGACAGAAGGAGAGTGTGGGGAGGGGGTGCCCCCCTCCCTGCCCCCATGCCAGGACTGAGCCGGGGCAGGTGGCCCCTCTGTGTAGTTTCTCTCTCCCCGCTCCCTTAGCCCACAGGTTGACAGTGGCAACCCAGCTGTTGCTAACCTCCAGGGTTCTGCAATATTCCTTGTTGGTTTCCCTAAACCCTGACCAAACTTTTCAAAATAGTCCCTTTGTTAGACTTGCTTCAATTTCTGAGAGTGCTACCTATTTCCTTCTAGGACCCTGCCTGTATGGGATGAGGCAGGGATCTCAAAACAACATGGGCTGCATGGAATTTTGACACCATAGGCAACTCAGAATTCTTCAATCTGCATAGGCTCCAATTTGTGAAACAAAATGTAAACAGGAATGGGACGTTTCTCTTTAATCAAAAGCAGCTGCGGGGGAGTTCGCTCTTTAGATCAGAGTCAAGGAAGATGGACTGCTACCAATAAAAACTCATCTGAGGTCTCCTCCTAGGAGAATTGTGCATTTTTAGGTAGCGCCTCTAAAATCATGTTAGGAGAGCATCTTAGACATTTAAATATATCTAATAATGCACATTAAAAGGGCAATGAAAAAAAAAAAAAAAAAAAAATAAAAAAAAAAAGGGCAATGATTTTTATTAAACTATTGTTCTACATCTATTCCCATCAGCTTTCCCCAAAACTCCTCCTCTGGCAGAGATACTCGACTTTCCCTTTTTCTGGAAACTACGTGGCAGTTTCAGCTTTCGTGACTTTTGGAACACGTTCTTTTTTTCACTGCTGGCTAGTTTCACTCTTAATGTGCAGGGCTTGCTTGGGGCTTTACAACCCCCTGTGCCACATCCTAATCAGGATAGATCGTCATGCACTATGGACCTTGTTAAAGATTTACCAACTTTACGCTTCAAGGACAGGGTGGGAAGTCCATATTCTGAAAATAACTGATAAAGTTATCCCTGTCACATGTTCAGTTATTACTCAGAGGGGGTGCCATCCACAAATTTCCCCAATCAAGCCTGCCCTTGATTTCACAGGGCTCATTCCCTAGGCTGCAGAGACTATTCCAGCCTATTACTTAATCCGATGAGCAAACCTGAACTTCATGTTATCATTCCAGATGACAGGTTACCCACAACTGTTTACTTTCGAATCTTTAGTTGTTCTTGGCATTGCTGTTTTCCTTATCGAATCTAAACAAAGTGCTGCGCTCCGGAGGACTGACTGGTCAGCGGGGGACAAGGGTGGTTTCTCCAAGGAAACAATGCGTTCGAGCCTCTTTTCAGGGAAGAACCCAGTGCAAGCCCTCCTTGAAGCGAGGAGTTCAAAGCCAAGAGCATGCGGGCCTTGTTGCCTAAGTGACAGGCACACACGTCAGAGTAAAAAATTACCATTGGGCCAGGCATTTCAAGATGGAGAAACAGCTGAACTGTTAAGACCATGTAATAACCAACTGGTTTTTTTTTTTCCCCTTCAGAATACTTAGAGAACTTCATGTATTTTGGTTAAAATTATTTTAATTTTTAAATGTGAAGTCACTCAATATATTATCCTTCTTTCTCACAGTTAATTTTTAATTTAGAGGGTCATTTGAGACTAGACAATTTTTGGCAGTGGTTCTTAAACTTTTGAGGCTTAAGGTCCCTTTATATAGCATAAACATTATTGAGAATTCTTTAAAAATAGCTGAGAACTTTTGTATACATGGGTGTTATCTCTCAATATTTACAATATTAGGAATTAAAACTGAAAAAAAAGTAAAAAGATTTATTACTTTAAACTAAGATAATAAACCTATGACATGTTAATGAAAATAACACTTTTAATGAAAAAATAACATTTTCAAAAAAAAATTAAGGAGAAGAGTGGCATTGTTTTACATTTTTTGCAACTCTGAGGTCTGACTTCATAGGAGAAGCCTGGATTCCTGTCTCTGCTTCTGCATTCAATCTCTTCAATATGTTGTTCTGGGTGATGTAGACAAAGAAAATCCAGCCTCACAGAGATATTCAATTGGAAAAGTAAGGACCTCATAGACTTCCCGAAAGGGTCTCGGGGACCCCAGGACCACACTTTGAGAATTGCTGGTTCATGGATGGTCAGTGTCACGGAGGATGTTTGCTCATGGGCCCCGCTTACCAGCATGAACATGATCAAAAGTCCTGATATTAATTGCAGGACTTCCACATCATAAACACAAGTATAACAGAGGCAGAAGACGTTTACTCCTTTCTCTGTTCTTTCTCTCCACGTGAAGAAACACGCACACAGAAAATTGGCATTTGTTCAAATTCCTAGCTGTACTTCAGAACTCTCTAGTTTCAGATTTTAAGTGGCTGCAGGGTGATCCTGTTTTGGCAAGAAACTTGCAAAAATTGCTACAATGATCTAAAGTCAAACTTTCTGGTCTCTATGGGGGGTGGGCAAGGGTGGTCTTATCTACTCATGGTGCACAGGCCCTAGCTGACAGCACTCAAGTGGGGGCAGAGAACTGGGGGCCTGGACAGGGGCTGCTCTGCCCCTGAGCCCAGTCTGGCCTCTCATGGCCTTGCATGTTTGGGGACATCGGGGAGATATCTTGTGCTGGAGATACTGATCTAAAAGTCAGAAATAAAACCCAGGAACCAGAGAAATTAACTGTTGCGAAGAATGAGAAGCTTTATGATTTACAATACTGGGCCTTTTACCCCAAGTGTCCAAGCTCTCAGCCTCACTTCATTATTAACTAGTTCCTCACACCCTCTCCAGAGGAAAGGGGGAGTTCCTGGGAATGGGAATGGCAGAAGCTTTCACTGTTCAGTTTCAGTGCTCTGGAGAATTATCTTAGAGTGAAGTGTGTACACAGCAGCGGCAGACAGAAAATCCCAGTTTGGTGCAGGGGCGGGTGAACGGCAGCACCCGAGACACTGGGGTTACTGGAGCCCTCGCGGGCTGCGGCGCTCACCTCGTTGAAGTGGACGTCCTGCATGCCAACGTCTTCCATCATGGAGGCCTCCTCATCTATGTTCGGGGTAATCACCCTGAAAGCTGTGCATCCTTGTCTAAACATGCCTAGAATTAGAGAGCAGGGGAGACAGTTGGAGCTATCAACCTGAAAGTGGATGAACCGCGAGGGTTCTTCCTGCCCTGTTTGTTTCTGGGTTGAACGAGGACCGATCTTGGAATCTCTTGCGTCTCAGGCCAGCGTTCCCATGGGGAGCCTGGGCGCCACTGTGTGCTTTCCTTCATTCGCTTCCTCAATATTTAACACTCACTGCCCTCAACTTTTTTTATTTTTCTCATCTCTTTTTATTTTTCACCCACCTTTATTAAAATGTATGTAATCCTTAAATAAACTGAAATAGGTATTGAATCAAATTAATAGCAAGGTAATAACAACAATAGTTTGATTTGGTAAAATGACCCATGCTCAGATACCAAGAAAAATAAAGAAGCCAAAGCCAATCAGAGAAATACAGACTCAAAAACAACTCTGTTTACTTAAAGCTGTCATCTCACCTACTCTGGCTGGGGTAACCCAGAACTCAGATTAGAACTCGCCCTTCTCCTGCAGGAAGCAGTCTACCAAGATGTGACTCGATGGCCGCAGCCGTGAGCTGAGGGGCTGCCTTGGCTGGTTCCACGTCAGCAGCCTAAGGGGTAAGAAGAGGCCTTTCCTCCCATGGAGTCACTGGGGAAAGTTTCATGTCACTTGGACAATGTCAGCTGGGCAAAAACGATCAAGTGAAGAAGGACTTGAAATGTCTTCCTGCTCTACTGAGATTACTGCTTACAGTAAAACAAAAGTCAATACCTGAACTGAGACCTCCCATGTTTCAGGAAAAAAAGGAACACAGAGTAGTTTGAAATCAAGTCTTGGAAGAGTGGACCCTAAAGTCAGAGATGTTTCTGCTGCACATGGTCAAGGTTTCCAGCCCCTTCATGGGTTGTCTAGCATCTCTGCCAATGTCCAGCTTTCGCCTTGCTTTTGTTTCATGGAGACAAAGATTCCCCTATGCAAAGCACTAACCTGGGAGCTTGAGGATACATGAGTGTACAAAAAGCAAAATTATAAAATCCAACCATCCATGTTTTTGGCTACAGAGTAGATTTAAAAATACAACTCAGCTCTGGTGGAATGACAATGGTGGCCAAAGTGCTTTCTTCTCCTTGCCTGCCATCAAACCAGAGTGGCCAGGAAAAGAAGGGAGGGAAGGAGAGCCAAGTCCATCCCACCAGAGTTGAAAGAGAAACCCCATACGTCTGAGTGTCACAGGGACGGGCGGCCGGCCCACTCTCAGCTCACCTCCCCGGCGCCTCCTCTGGCAGGTGCTGTGGCTGGAGGGGAGGAAGGACGGCTCCAGCTGGAGGGCTAGGCCTGCTTCTAAACATGAGGAGATGTATTACCCGACAGAAGGTCTCAACAGGAAATCGTGCTGGCAGTAAGAGAATACGGAGCCCCTCCCTGGTTTCTTTCTCCTTCCAGCTCTGACGTATGACAAGCCTAGATGCCCTTAAATTCCATTCCAAAGAGCCAGCTGTACCAGAAAGATAGAAATTCCCTGACCTGGCCATCTGTGGTTTCCTCACATTGTGAAGGAATTAGCCAGATCTGGTGCAGCCGTGCTCCAGTACACACATGAACACAACTGGCCTTTCTAAAAGCCCCGTGTTCTCAAATTTGAAGTGGAAACGAGCAACTGGTGTTTAACCAGAGGAGCCGTGACAGAACTCGCGGCCTGCTAACATGGGAACAAGCACTTAGCACACAGGTGGGTGGCACTCACTCCTGCCAGCTCCTTCCATGGGGCGGCAAGGTTTCCAGCCTGCAAGCTGCCTTCGCACACAGCAAAGCCGACCGGGCTGTGCTCCAGAAAATACTGCCTGATCACCTCCTGTTACAGCTGCCTTTTGATTGGTAAACAGTTCCGGTGGGAACTATCTTAAGGGAAAATAAAATCTTTTCAGCTGGAGATTGGCTGGTCAGGGACTCCCAGATGCCAAGCTCATTAACTAGTTTTTGCAATATGGAGTTATTAGTAAGAGGTTATATGACAAAATGCCACCTACTTTTGTTTTCCATTTCTGCGGTGCCTACCACATCAAGCAAGTGTCACACCAGTGAATAAAACAATGAATATACTGTACACATACACATACACACACACACACAGAAATCCCCCACGTCCACATCTTTCTTAATGGCTCTCACTTGTCTTTGCTGCTCTGTGCAATTTTATATTTATTTCACAAAACCCAGGAATCGTTTCTCACCTTTCCGTGTGAGATATTCTGCCACCAGGGCTGTGACATGGACATAGCACATTGCTGCCTAAAACAAAAGACATGTTTCAGAATCACCAATTATGAAGAATGGCACAATGCTCACAATCAGAAATCTAATGACTATATGTACTTATATTAGATCTCAAGGCATCAACTAGTGTTTCTAATGGCCGACATCTTACCTTTTGAAAAAAGTAGAACAATTCAAATAAATTGAAATTTTTAAACTTTGAATTGAGACAAATGGCCGTAAATTTGCTAAGACCTATTTCTATTTAAAATTATTAAATTTAAATGTAAAAGATTTTTAAAAAGCATTTTTTCTTACTATAAAATTTCAGCATTATTTCTCTTAAAGGGAAAAGAGGATCATTTGAAGAAAAGGCATGTGCATTCTTAGATTCAGAGATGAAGTTATAACTTTTTCCAAAAATTCTAAATGAAAATATTATTTTATGTTAAATGGATAACATTATAAACACCTTAAAACAAAAGAAAAAATAAAAATAAATTCTTTTCACCAAGTTGCCATGGTTTACAAAACATTAAAGATAGCTGTTGGAAATGAACCTACCATAAGGTTCCAATGTCTGAGCCCTGGTTCTTGTCAGAATGATAAAAAAAATTACTACTACTAACAGTATGTAATTCATTTTCATTATGGCTAATGTATATTTTAGATTAAACTTATGGTCAAACAGAATGGACTCAATCAATAGGTAAAAATAGTTACATAAAATTTTCAGATATAGAACACAATTTTACTAATTTAAGCAGTTAGAGAGGTTTAAAAGTAAAAGCACACTTCTTTGGTAGTACTGTTAATCATACCTAAATGCCTCAGGCATCAACCCTGAGCAGAGTTTTCATGGGAACATGAATACTTCCCGCCTTACAGCCTACTGTTTTCCTTAATTTCCCCCATTTTACAGATGATGTCATAGAGACACAGAGGGGTTAAGAACTGGCTCAATGTCACCAAGTTAGTCAGTGTTGGATCCGGGATCCAGTCTGCCTTGGAGCCCACACTCCCCCTCTGCCCCCGCCATGCTGTCGCTTATTGAACTGTGCAGCTCTGTCCATGAGGGAGCTCTGACATCTGCCACGACTACAGACAGAAACTGACTACCTCAAACAGGAAAAAGCAATGCCCTGTCATTCATGACTTCGATACAGGGAAATCTAATTTTATCATAAAATAGCTCAATTTTAGATCTAGAGGAGTTTTGATGCAGAAACTGAGTGCACCTAACTAGCGGGCACCTGTGTGAGCGTGGATGTTTTCTAAGAGCCTTCAAACAATGCTCTTTTGTGATGGAAACATCCCCTTACGATGTTGTAAATTGTTAAAATGCTTAGATGACCATGAAGGAACCCCAAGCCCAGCACTGTTTAAAGTATCACATATTTTTAACTGGCTTCTTTGAATTACTGGGAAATTTTTCTCATAATTGGCTTCCTTCAGTGAATGGGACACAATTTGTTTTCTCAAAAGCCCGGACTGACATGCTTGTGGGGCTACCTCGGACAGGTCCCCGTTTTTGACATGGATCCGGGCCATGCTGTCCAGCCACGTCTTCCGGAGCTCGGGGGTGCTGGCATAGGACTTGGCCAGGCTGTACTGGAGGTCCACCAGCATCTCGGGGTCATTCTCATGCTCCTTCATCTGGGCCGTGGCCATCAGAACTGTGCGGATCCTTTTGGTCAGGTCCTTCACGTCCGAGGAGAAGGTGGTGTGCTGCAACAAGGGTGGAGGGGGACACGGGGCTTTCAGCTGCATTCTGTCCGTGTGCATACATATCAGATGATGAGGCGGAGTTTTGGGGGTAAAACATAAAACGAGACCGGGCCACCCACCTTGATGAGCCTGTCACTGTTGGCACAGTTGTTGATGATAGACAAGGACTGCTGGAATCTGGTTCCCCCAATGCCAACAACGTCTGCTATCAGTTGGCTGACGGAAATAATGACCTTAGGGACACACAAACGTGAGCAAATCAATTCACCTTCAAGTGACGCCCCAGGCTCAGCTCCTGGCTTTGGTTAGGATGTGCATGGGGATGGGGCAACGGGGAAGCTGCGAACAAGGATCGCTCCAGTGTGGGAAACAACGTCTGAGTCATCTTCCCCCTTCCAAGAATTATTCTAGAAGTTGATTTTGCTACCCTTCCATATCGGTTGCACATCAAAATGCTAATCAGGAGAGTGTAGAGGAATGAGAATCAGATAAGCCCATATCACTTGGATGGTTACTTACCTATCACCTTCTCTAATAAAAAGGAAGACCTTATTATTTACCTCTTTGGTTTTTGGCTTGAATTTATATGTACTAAATATTCAGTAAATGGACTGTCTTTTGCATTTATTATTAAAACATGTACATATGAACTATGCAGTGGGGGAATCTGTCTTTTTGGGGGTCTATAAATAGCACCGCCTTGGGCTTCCCTGGTGGCGCAGTGGCTGAGAGTCCGCCTGCCGATGCAGGGGACACGGGTTCGTGCCCCAGTCTGGGAGGATCCCACATGCCACGGAGCAGCTGGGCCCGTGAGCCATGGCCGCTGAGCCTGCGCGTCCGGAGCCTGTGCTCCGCAGCGGGTGGGGCCACAGCAGTGAGAGGCCTGCGTACCGCAAAAAAAAAAAAACCCAAAAAACAAATAGCACTGCCTTTACCCAGTTACTCAGCTAAACCGTGGACCATGCCCCTCCCCCCATTCCCCCTTCTCATCCTTTACCTTCACCACACCCAGGTATAATCAATCACTAAGTATTGTCAACTCAATCTCCTCTCCCTTCTAACCTCACCATGCCTGACCCAGGACAGCATCCTCTCTGGCCTAAACTTAACCATGGTTTCCCCACAGTCTCCCGATCTAAGGCCTTGACTCCCTGATCCATTCTCAGCCTGGAGTCCAGGCGATCCCTCCAAATGTGCAATGTTGCCATCTCAACTTGTTCTCACCCATACTCTCACCTCCACTGTAAGGACCTTCTCTGGTCCCCTGGATGGTCCCTTTCCCATGGTGCATGCGTGGCCTGGAACATGCTCACCCCCAAACCCCTCTTCACGCGTCACATCCCATGGGAAGCCCCCTGGTCCCCTCCCTGGGGCACTCGAGTTCCTCTGTTAGGGGACTGGGCACACGGCACAAGGGCCTCAGTGTCTGTCCTCCAGGAGATGACACTCTGTGAGGGCCAGGAGAGGTCCTGTTTCGTTCATGTTCATCCATGAATCCCAGCACACAGTTTGCAAGCAATAAACATTTGTTTTTTTAAAAAAGAGTAAGTACAGAGACGGAGAAGGCGCTCCTATATGTGTTTGTAGAAAAAGAAAGTCTACAGAAATATATAAGAATCTTCAGTATCTGGCCTGGTTCACAGAGCAGAGAATTTGGGACACTAACTCTGAAGGGATGGCAGGCGTGTCAACAGAAGGAAGACAGAAAAGAGTCACTTTGGGCTTTCTGTGTCTTACCTAAGATGTTTACTATGAGGTATCCTCTCATAGGTTCTATAAATCTTTACTCAGTAGAATTTCGGTCAGTCGAACATTGATTCGACATTTAAATGTCAATTTACCAATAGAAACACATCCTGGGCCCAAATCTTACGATGTGGAGGGTGAAATATATAAAAGCAGTAAATGTGACTTTTGAATTTTCCATCTAGAGGTCAGATCGTTCAATACTTACACCGAGGTAACCTGGTAGATGTGACACTCAACATTTTCCTGCTAAAACATAATTCCACACAGCACACTTGACACGCACCTGCAGATGCGTCCGGACAAAGGACTTCTTGCCAGTGTAGTCGAAGTTGTTCCTCATCAGGAAGTACAGCAGCTGGGAGGCCTCAGTCCTGATGGAGCTCAGCTTGGAGTTGCAGCATTTCAGGACCTCATAGCACAGGGCTGCGCACATGTCCGCTCTCCGCTCATAGAACGTTGAGGGAAACTACATGGACATGAGGAAGCAAATGAACCCAGGGAGGTAAGTGACCCTTTCAGCTCCAGGTAGACACAGGAGAATGGGTGAGAATCAAGAATGACCTTCCCTGGTGAAACAACGTACCTTATAGATTAATGATCTTAAGGCAGTGAAGACATTTTTTAAAGCCGTTTCAGACTGATGTTTTTGAAGAAAGCACAGGTAGACGTCAAAAACCTTTTTCATGAGGGGATTATGTCCGTGGTCAGCCAGGAGCTGGTTCTTAAAACACACAAGGACAGCTTGGTCAGTGAGACACGCCAGACACTGCTGATTGGTTTCATACAACTTTCAGCCTCAAAGGTTACATTTTTCAGGTACTAAGACAACTTATAATTTAAACAAACTTCCCATGAATCCTCTAGGAAAGCACAGAAGCCTCTTGTAGTACAAACAAACTTATCAATAAATTCATGCTTTGGAGAATTTACTTTTTCTACTAAGGGACAGACTAATTTAAAACTTCCCAGCAAACTGTACTACGGTTTAAAGGACCACTGTGCCTCAGTACTGATTGGGCTTCTATTTATTTACTTATTTTTACTATCACCAGCAACTAATACGGAGGTAATGTTTGCGACACCTTAATTCCAACAGAGAAGTGCCATTACAGGTATCAGCTAATTAATGGGCTGGAAAAAATCACTGAAGTGAGGTGTATGGAACAGGTCCTCTACCAGTGAGGGCTGGGTTTTCTCCCCCGCCACAGGCTCTCAGGCACTCTGCAAAGCCACGAATCACCAGGCAGTCTGGTAAGGGGGAAAACGCACAGGCTTCGGGTCAGGCACCATTTCTCACGTGCACAGATTTGCACAGGTAAACTGAGCCTGGCCATTCTCATCTGTGAAACAGCGACCCTAAAACTAAGCTTGCATAGCTACTGGGAAGACTTGAGGTCAAGTATAGGGATCGTCTGACGCCCCCTCTGATCTAGCTCAGTTAAGTGGCAAGAGGGTCACCATTAATTACCTCTCCTAATTCTTCAAGGTTTTCTCGCACCAGCAGCAAATTCACACTGGTTTAACACTGTGAAAGCCTGGATGGCTAAAACTCCCAATGATTGCTGCACATGCACAGTGGACAGAGGTGTCACCCAACTAAAGGCCAGCATGCAGCCACATGTGCTTGACACTGGAGAGCTGCATCTTCAAATACAGACAGGCCTGTCAGGACAAAGGTGTGTTTGGGAGAATGTGTGCATTTTGCACAAGTAGGCAAAAATGACTATCACTGAAAAAAAATGTCCAGAGGTCAGTACCTCAAACCAACCTTACAGTTTAGCCAGAGGAACAGAGATAACTTATGTCCAAATAGTTCGGTTGCACAGCAAATTACGGCTGGAGTAATAGTTTCAAGATTTATCTCATCTTATTGTTGGAGAAGAAGTTTTACTCAAGGAATAAGTTTTGTTTTTTTAGGTCCAGTAATTCACGGGTGTATTTACAGCTGGTAGGACACCTGGAATCCACAGTGATCTTTATATCATGAAACACAAAAGTACAGTATTGAATTCCATCATGTGAAAGAGAAGCAATTTAATGGAGCAGAAAATGTGACTTAATTAACTGAATATGATGTAATTCTCAACCATGAGCAGCTGTTCACCAACCGAAAAAAAAAAGGGGTTGTTTCCAGTGTTTGGGGAACTGCTTAGTGTTTACTGTTTCTGAGCAGTTCTTTTCCCAGGAGTCACAGTCCTTCCTAATTATGGCTGGATTAAGGCTTGCATGAATCTGGATATGAGCTTTTATTTTCTCAGCCATCTTTGCTGGAGATATCCAGGAGAGATGGTTCATACAAAAATCGCTAAGACCTCTGGCCTTGCTGTCTGAATTGGCCTGTCTCCAAGTTGTTACCACTGGAGTTAAATTTTCCTTCCTTTCACTCTCTCTTGGTCAAGGTTTTTGCTTCCCATTTTCAGGATTTAGTCTTCTTTGGGTTCTGATCACAAAACTTGCTTGAAGAATGGAGTAAAAATGCATTACAAAGATATAAACAACCCCTCATTTAAAGGGGTAAGGGACCTTTCGTCCTGAACACACCCCAGTTTACCAGCTGCCTTCCTTATTTTCCAATCAATTTTCTTCTCTCTCTCTCTCTCTCTTTCTCATTAAAAACGCTGAACATTCAGAAAGGCTCAGAGCAGGGAAAAAAGCAAAACAAAAATCACCTTCACTTTTCCACTCATAAATAACCATGGATAACAATGGAGTATCTCATTTCTACCTCTGTCTCCCTATAGACTTTTACTGAGGATGGGAGAATTTCATTGATTAAAATGAAATTAAATGAGACGTTAGAATAATGGGAAAGGCATGACTTATTTCTAGCAATAAGGTGCTATTTTCTAGCAATAGGTTATAAATAATTCTCAGGAATTGTCTGATGTGGATTCAAGTTTGACTGTCGTTACCAGCCTCCTAAGGGAAATGGGGCTTTCAGAGAATGAACACACATTATCAGTAATTTCTAAAGAGCCAGGAACAGGAGAAAAACGAACTTAAACCTCAGGTGCCAAAATGACATATCTGGAACCATGTTATTTAAGACAGCGACATCCTTCCTAGGGATATGGCTTGATTTTTATTTAGACACTGATTTATAGAATAACTTTAAAAATCTAGCTTAGAGTAGCACTCTCTCTGTCGCAGAGGCTCACCAATCACCAGGATGACCTAAACCCCAGGCTCATGGTTGTGTAAACTGGACCCCAGGCTCCCTAGCTGACCCCCATCATCCACGTGCTCCCCACCCTGGTCGTTCACAGCGATCCTTCTCATCATGTACTTGCTGGTTCTCACCATGCACCTCAAATCAAGAGAAGGCACTACAGAGAATTACTTAAAATACATTTTCAGATTAAATTTGTAAGTACATTAAAAATATCATCAACTATTTAAAGGCCAGATTTGGTTTAGGACTGTATTAATAGACATTTTAAAACAGCCAGAGAAGAACCATGTTTTTCTGCATGTAATCACCTTGGTTTACATAACACACCTTTCGTGTATTAAACAATATCTGTGAAAGTGCCCACATAGTACCAGCATCTGGTAAGTGCTTGGTAATTTTCTTTTTTCTGTGTGAGAGATCATTCAGCTACCTTGATATTCACCCAGCTTAGCTCCTTCCCCCTACACACACACACACACACACACACACACACGCACACACACACACACGCACACACACACACACAGTGATCTTGGGCTAATTTCCTGACCTATCTCAGCCTCAATCTCCTTATCTATAAAATGGGGGATAAGAAGATCTACTGGGCCAGGCTGTTGTGAGGACTGACGCTGAAGACACAGAAGGCACTCAATAAACGGCAGCAAGCTAATATAACAATAAATTGGGGTTCAGGGCTTAAATCTTTTCAAACATTTCCTCTCATTAAGAACATGATTTCTTGATTGTACAAAAAGGGTTCCTTTTTTGGGTTCCCAAAGCAATATCACTTTGGGTTCCTAGTTATGACATTTCCTGGGGACGTGAGTAGCATGGCTGCTACGAACAAAGGTAAATTATAATAAAGCTACATGATATCGGGTAACTATTTTTACTCTAATAAAGAAATGTGCTTCATGAGAAGAGGAGATGAGTAAAGCACAGATTGACTTTGGGTATGTTTCCCAAATACCCTTGCAAGTAAACATACTGATTTCATATTCAGAGCATATTAACACTAATTCAGCTTCTCTGGAAACGGAAGTAGTTATTGAGTGAGAATGGGAAGGGTTAGGTTCCTAAAAACAAGAAGGTGGCTGAAGAGACCATCTTTACCTACATAAATGTTACTTGCTAAAACCTAAAAATAAGACCAAGATCACTTTTTATTCTCTATACTTGAAATGTTTCTATCATTTAATTTAGTAACAGATCCAAAAAAAATTGAAAAGGTGAATGTTTTTAGGTATTGCTCCTCTAAGTATAAACATCTAATTTTAATTGCTACCACATGTGGATATGTTTAAAGATAGTAGAGGCAGAAATGCCCAATTAGGTTCCTGTATTTATCATTCTCGAGGGCTCAGCAAAGCCACCTTCCCCGGTAAACGCTTTCATCTGGCCAAGCGTTAACCGCCTCCTGGGACTGTGTCCACCTTTTGCAAGCAGGTGGCACACCCTGACCAGTTAAGCTGTATTATATTTCAGGGAATTCAAGTCATTAACAGTGGAACGGTTTCATTAAGGGAATTTAAGGATTAATGGTTTCCTTACAGGGGGAAAAACAGTTGCTGCAGTAAAAATACAACATAAGAAGTTCTTGCTGATTCAGTTAAATAAACAGAATGAATTTAAAAGGTGAGGCTCTGACCATGAACAGCTGTTCAATACAAACCTTAAATGCCAGTGTAAATAGAGAGAGGGTGTCCAGAGCTGTCAGGCACACCTCAGTAGCAATATTGGCTTCAAGTAACGACTGGTGGAGAACATCTGCGTCCGAGTGGCCATAGCCTGCATGAATCATAATACAAGGTTACTGCTGGTGGCTGAAGAAGAAAGGCTAGGGAATGGTATAGTCACAGTCAACTTTTGATTATTTCCAGAAGGCTTCCTTCAGGGCCATATCTCCCTGTTTGCCTTTTTTTTTTTGGTGGCGGGGTGGGTAAAAGGAGGTATTAAAAATGTTTCCATTCAATTATGACTTTTTCAGCTCTGGGAGGGAAGTAATAGCAGCAAACATTTATTGTGCACTTGCTATGTGCCAGCCATAATTCTATGAACTTTACATGTATCACCTTATTTAATCCCTCAATAGCCCTATGAAGTGTGTACATTATTAAACCCTTTTTGCAAATAAGGAAATGGAGGCCCAGAAAGGCTAAACAACTTGTCTTAAGTCACACAGTTGGTAAACAGGGGAGCTAGGGCTGGAACATGGACCAGAGTCACTCAATTGCGCCACTTGACTGAGCTGTTAAGATGGTGTGGTAGTGAAGGAGGCTGAGATCTCTGAAGCTCCCCACACAGACAGAGGCTGCAGCACAGCACAGGGAAGGAAAATGAGCTGCTCAGTGAATCAAGCTCGTCCCCTTACTAGCTGTGTGACCCTGGGCAAGCTACTTGACCTCTTTATACCTCAGTTTCCTCATCTGTAGAATGGGGATAATAACAGTATCTACCTCAAAGGGTTGTGGTGAGCATTAAATTCATTAATTGCTGTGAAGCTCTTGGAATAGTGCCTGGCACACAGCGAATGCTATGTAAGTCTCAAGTCAATAAAGTAAGGATCTGTTTTATCAGTTGGAATCATGAATGATAACCAAGAGTTGACTGCACTGCTAACAGTATTCTACTTGCTTTAATAAAAAAGCACAAAAGCCACTATGACTGAAAGAAATGTTTAAGAAAAGGAGAGAACTTGAGAATCATAATTTAAATACAAACTGATATCTTCTGTATGTGGCTGTAAAATCAATTTAGTATTGATATAAATGTAGTTTGACATACAATTTGAGATTAAATTATGAAATGGTATGCATTAGCAGAAATATATATAAGGGATGCAAAGGTGTTTCAGTATTGATCTAGATTACAAAGAAAGATGGCAATATAATAAAACGTCAGGTAATGTCTTTCTCCAAGGAGCAAAACAAATCAACACTTACTATGTAGGTAATTTTCTTAATACTCCACAGAGGAGGACATTTTGTACATAGATCAGGAAAATGAAGTACAGAAAGCCTAGAGAATTTTCTTGAGGCCAGTAATGGGATAAAACCAGAAACTACACTCCCAATTCCTTATTCAGGTCACTGTACCATAATCTCTATTATTAAGATAAAAAAGTAACTAGCATGATATTATTCTGACTTTAATAAATGTCAGAGATAGAGAATGATTTTTGAAAGACTACAAAAAGCTTTTCTAAAGCTACCGAGTTGCTTTTTAAAGTATGATTAAAAAAAACCAAAACTATTATGTGCTTTCATCCAACTTTGCTTTGCTTTTATAATGGTGGTTTTGAGTGGCCTGCATTATTTTCACAGTGTGACAGAGTCATCGTGTCCCTAGTAAGGCTATGGAACACATTTGGCACCGTGCTAGTTCTGTTTCTTTATATTCCTGGTTTGCTTTTAGGTTTTTTTTTGGTAAGAAATCTAGCAGAAAGGAAGACAGACATTTTTTGGTACTAATAGTCACTGAACTGCCTTTGTAAGCCAAGGTATTTCCTCATTTGGTAAGGTTTGTTTGGTGAGATAGCCAACAAAAGAGGAAAACAAACAAATGATTATTGTTACAGTGATCACAAAGCAGGGCAAGAGAGGACCAAAAAAAAAAAAAAAAAAAAAACCAAAACAAAAAACAAAAACAAAACGAACAAAAAAACCACCACCTTTTATCAGACCAACCAAAATTATCACACAGGTCAAAAGGACCCTATACTGAGGGCTGCCATTTATCCCAAATGAAGTTTTATAATCTGGGTTAAACTGTAACAAGGCACTTGCTTTGGTGATTAACTGTATTCTCTGCACTGAACTGTCCTTTTCTCTTTCTAGATAACTTATTGGATAAGTGTATCCAAGTGTGATTATTATAGATGAGATGGTCTACACACTGAAGAACTCCAACAGAGTTTACTTATACCTGGCTGAATGTCTAGAACAATTCAAGAATTGCAATTTGTCAATGTGCTATTTTTTAAACATATATAATCAATGGGCCATGCTAATTAATGACAAAATTTCTCTAAGCTACATTACACTATCTAATCTCCTTTAGAATAAGAGTCAATTCATACAGAAATCTGTCTGCCTGTGTCCGAATCATATAAGAACAAAAGAAACAGTCCTTTTAGCCACAATTGGTTATAATTTGCTTTTCCTTAAACCGTTTTGTCTCAAAAATCAGCAGGTTCCTGAACCAGTGTTACTTAAACATCCCTAAAAATAAGTGGCAGCATGGGACGTTGTGTGAGTGACAGGGACTGACTGGACAATCTGACAAAAGATACCCCCATGGGGACAGTCTGTCTCAAGACCTGGAACAAAGCTGTGCATGAGGGAAGACTCTAATCAATGGTCACCTTGTTACTGGCTAACACAGGAAAATGAAACTGAGCTGGCAAACCCAAGAAGGGGTCTTAAGAGACACAGTAATTTCTCAGAGCATCGGTCAGCAACTTTTTAAAGCTGACTAAGCAGATTCTGACCAGGGCCAGTAAGAAGTACTGTTAACCCTACTGACTTCCACTAGGGGGTAGTGGTGCCTTGGGGCACAGGCACTGACGTGGTCACTGAGGCAGGTCAGGGAGGGAAGGACTTCCCTGATGCACCATCTCCAGCAGGCACCTCAGGGGGTGCTTTAGAGACCTTAGGATCCACTGCTCACATGTACACAATTTTCATTCTGCTGTTACTCAGATAAGTGATTTATTCTCAAATCCCCAAATCTTTCAAATACTCAAAGGAGGAAGATGAGATTTTTTTCCCTCTAATGTCATCTGCTATGGTTAGACTTACCTAACTTTACTCCGTTTTATGAAGTCCTGTTTCCTGAAAAGCTTGGTTTAGTAATGCTGAGGACATCTGTAAACTACCCCTCCCTCCCCAGTGCCACATCAGAGGTGATGTGGTCAGAAAGGCAGAAGCCTGATCCACTGCCACTCGCCTTTTCCGAAAGTCAGAGGACATTTGGGCTAGAAGAATAAGTCAGATACATGTTCTCACAGGAGGCACTTCCTTCTTGAAAGCTGCCTTCACTCTTTATGAAACCAGAATTCTTGTTTTTATTTTTAATTTTTTTCTCTGGCCCATAATATGAATCCAGAAAAATAATACATTTTATGAAAAAAATATAAATATTGAACAGCTAGGAATCTTCTTGCTAAAAGAAATCCCCAAATGTAGAAGACCTAGCCTCCTAGATATATTAACTCATGGTCTACAGCTTTTACTAACTGCACATATTTATGCAAAGTATCAGATGGATCCACCACTACACAATCTATTATTGATCTCCATCTCATTTTTATTGCTAAAAAGTTTTTCCCCACAGATGGGCAAGAAGTGGAGAACAGAATAAGGAATGACATTCCAAGGCAAAACATCATGTGATTTGCTGTCTGCCCTCTGATTAACCACCGCAGAAACAAATAGGTTCAAAATGATTTGTGAAGCTAGTCTATAATCTCAGAGTTTATACTCGAGGAAATGGTTATACTACCTGCTTTCTAGTCTCAGATTACCTTGCATAAGTGATTGTCACTTAGACAATCAGATACTTAGCTGTATCTGAAAATGGTATGGGATACAGACCCCAAACTGTGACAACACTTGGTTTAAGCATATCATAACTTTTAATTTAAAGTCCTCTTTAAGGATACTAAAAATATTAAAAATGACCGACTTTAAATGGGCATTGTGTCAGGTTTTCTCAACTCTGAAACCCTATCAATTGCAAGAAGCACCAATCAATGACAGGCTACCATGTTAGAGGTAATATTCAGGATGTATCTGTAAGATAAGACCTGCTAAATCTGTAAAATATATCCTGATTTCAGAAATGCTGGCAAAGGGGCAAAAATCTATCTCCAGATCAAGGAAATGTGGCTTTATAGACATTTTATTTACCATCTTGAGTACAGACATTTAAAGCATCCAAGCCCATTTCACCTATTTTAAAAGATATATCACCCATGCTTAAGAACTTTTGAGAAATACTGATTTTACTTCAGAGACTATATGTCTCCCCTGCATTTTTTATATTGATTCAATATTGTCTAAAATAAAGGAACTTAATTATCATCTATATTCAGTTTCTTACTTGAGATTCATAGATATCAAAGAATATCAGAATTAGATGGGGTCTGAACAAGCCATCTCGTCTAACTCCTCATATGATGCTTAAATGACCTGGACAGTATCCCCAATGGGTCCTCATCAAGTCTCTGTTTTCACATCTCCAGCTGCCAGTACCTATACTAGCTAATAGGTAGTCCAGTTAGAAAATGCTTCCCCATATTCACCTGAGATCTAATTCTCTGCAACTTAATCCAGTGATCTTAAATTGTCTCTTATACTGAATTATATGAAATACAGGTTTTCTTCAAGGGTTTCTACCTCTCGGCTGGCTTCTCTCCCATCACACCAATGGGAAATATGGATTATCATGCAAGTGAATTTAACATATTCCTAGAACAATACATAACATTAAAGTAAATACAAACTGTTATTTTATATATTTTTGCAAATGAATCACTTATTTGCAAACACGTTTCACTTAGTTTTCCCCTCATCACTCAGTTTATATAAAATATACAAAGTATACTCCGAGCACCTATCACTCTCAATTTGTCCTTTGGCACAAGTCTTTTCTACTGATACACAATGAGTACATGTTGCCTTAAACAGGTCAATGCCTTAATGTTGTAAACATTTACTTTTTATAAGCCTGGGCAATGACCCAAACAACAAACTCCTACCCTTTGAGTGTTTTTAAAATAGTTAAGACCACTGGCCACAGTGAAATTCTCATTATTTCCTATAAAAATCCAAGAGTAAGGGTAAGTGCCCGCTAGCGTTACACGTGTGCTGCGTGTGGTGCCTTTCCCGTGTCCTACTGTTAATAGGCGATGGAGACAGTGCGGCTTGGCCTGCATCGGCTTAAGTTCCTCGCAGTCCTCTGCTGCCCCCTGCTGGTCACGCTAAGATCTGACAAAGCCTTTCCTACTCAGAGAAAGGAAATGAAAAATGCAGGTGTATAGGGGACTCTTCCTATTTTCATTCTTTTCCAAAATAAATTCATTTTAGACTCTGGCATCCCAGCAAGTCTCTCACATATTGGATCTCTGTCATACTGGTTGGCCCAATAGAAGGTACTGTATTCGTTAAATAGGAATTTTCTTAAAGAGACATACGTGGCTACAAATTTCCCATACAGTATCTAGGTGAAGATGTAAAAACTCATGTATGTATGAGTTCACACACATACACATGTATACATACAGTATACACTCCCTTCTCTATGGCTTTTGGCCGAGTTGATGATTTGGAACTCAAAAAGCTAATGGTGGTAGAGGCTGAAGCCTCCCAAATACAGAATCACAATTAGAGATGTAAGTGAAGACTGAGTTCAGGGTGGAGATGCAAGGACTATGGGGCATCAGAAGCTATTCGGGGAGAGCAGGAACTGTGGGCACACATTAAAAGGCTAAAATAATCAGCTACACAGTCTTGACTGGGAAGGCAAAAGGAGAAACTTTGATCGAGAATGGTGTCACTGAAAACTGACTAAAGAAAAACTTTGGGTTGAAAGAGGAGAGGGGCAGGAAGGACAAGGTTCTCTGTGGGTAGCAGGAAGAGAGAATGGAGATCAACCATGTTAACAATAGGGTTTTTGGCAGTAGAACACAGCCAGCTGTCTCTCTCCTCCAACTCAAACCACCACCGTGAAATCCATTTGCAGAGGGAGGGGTTGCTGCATATCTTGGTGGATTAAGGTTATTTATTCGTGTGTTGATCATTCAGTTTATTTTCGTTTGTTTTCTATGTTTCCTACATGATTATCTTTGGAGGCGGGGCCTTGGTCTGCTTATGATTTTTTTTACAGTGCTTTAAAGTTTCAGCGTTTATTTCAACTGATAATGAGGTACTGATAGTCCCTGTATCATACATTATCTGGGCAAAGGCAATGTAGCAAGTCTTGCAAAAAGTGGGAATTTGATTTCTCTTTGCTAAATAGGAAATGAAAACTAAAAATAATGAAACTCCTTGTTTTGTCTGTTTAAACCCTTTGTCTGCAGAGCTAAAATAGCCCTAACAGACAAGATGTTGAAAAATCAAGTTCTGTAGCCTTAGACGTGTCACTAACGCACATTTCACAGCTAAGTATAGAACCCAGAACTAGCATTTGAAGCCTACCAATTCAGTGTGTGGCAGACTGACATAATATTGATTTAAATTAAGCCTTGAATTTTATAAAGAGAGACTGTACCCACTACATTTAACTTTCTTGGGGGTGGAAGAGTGGGAAGGTGCCATGTTTTGATTCCTCAGCATTTTTACTTTGAACTATTCTCAATTTAAGGTGTCAGGAATATATTGTCTATACTCTTAGCCTGTACTAAGAAAGAGGTGTGGAAATCACAGTGAATGGAATGAATTCTTATGATTAGAAATGATGAGAAGATATTACTAACCATGAATTAAAGACACTGCTTGCAATGAGTACAAATAATTGTCTAGATAGAACAACAACTAGCTATGTCATGCTTGGAGCAAAGATGGGACAATTTAGAGAACACACCACTGACAGAAATGATGACATTAGTTTATAAAGTGCTACATGGTTGATATCTTTTAGGTTTTCTGCTTCAAGAAACCCTTAAGAAGACTAAACACTTAGATTTCTAGAAACAGCACATGATGCTACGTCCCCTCTGTCAATTGATAAAATTAAATTAAAGATATGCTCCCATGTTTTGGCAAAGTCTCTACTGTGAAGTTAGGAAGCCCCAAAGTTAGGAAGGCGAGATGAACAAGAAGTCTCGGTTTGCAAGTGAAGCGGCCTCATAAGCAGACTTCAACCTGATTAAATCTTACCATTGTCTACAGAAATTCCAAGCACACTTGATATCTTTCTCACACTGAAAACACAGAAAAAGTCACTTTGTTATTGGCTTTTCCACACCCTCACACATTGATTCACGGGCTTTATGGTTTCACAGCAGTTTAACGATTAACATACATTCAGGGCTAGAATGTCAGAATGTGGACGCTTGATCAATTACACGCATGGGGTCAGGAGGGTGAAAGGCACTTGCCCCAGATGTTCTTGGGAGTCACATGGGGAAAACTGATGATAAGCTGGCCACTGGCAACAAATCAAAATACTAAATTAAATTATCAGAGAATGTCTGGCTATCAGGCCAGATTTTGTTTTAAAAACACCAAGCAGATGGCGTGGGGCAAAGGGTCTAGGCTTTCAGGTCTGGTGCTGTAGTTGACCACGTCCCACATTATGTCATTCTCCTCCGAGGAAGGGAACTGCGCCACGAGCTCTTCATCCTACTGCTCTGAGCTGGAAGAAAAGTCGATTTGGTGATGTGGTGTGGTGTGGCCAGGGGCTCTCCCCTCTGAACTGTCACATGGGATGGCTGGCTGTTACGATGGTGTGTCATGGGACTTACTGTGGTTAAAAGTGAGAGAGTTATCCAGGCTGCCCAGCTGCTGCAATCTGGCATGCATCATTCCTGTTCTGTTACGGGAAACAGGCAATGTCTGAGATTTTCGATCATGAACTATGGGTCCCAACCCCTCCTGGTTCCTGCAACATGAGTGAAATGGGATAGAAGCAAAAGTTAGACTTGTTACACTGCAGCGAGATGGGGGGCATTAGTTAGTGAGGCCAGGACACAGCACGAAGGAGACTGGCCACGCACGGACTAAGCACAGAGGAGCCTGTTTGGGGCCACATGAGCCAAAGACACACACAGGCAGCAGCACTTGGCAGAGTTCACAGCAAAGCATCTGAAGACGAAGGAGCAAAAACCAGGCCAAAGCAGAGACCTTTTCAGTTTTGGAAAGTCATTTAGAGATGCTACTTTTTAAAAAGGTGAGCATCAGTCCAATGTGGTGCTAATGACCAGCATTTGGACAACAGCCAAAACACTACGAATCTTTTTGGATTATATATGTTATTAAACAGCAAAAAAAAATTTTTTTAGTTAAAATAATACATTGGAAGAAACAGAGAACAAACATGCAATGGGAAGGATTATATGAGGCGGTTTAACACCTTTATTCTTACCCAGGAAAGGAGGAGAAGAGCCACAACCTTTGTTAGACTTGTCAGCAGTCAAGTGAAGAAAATAGAAAAGTGATCTGGATTAGCAATCAAACAGCTAACTTCCTACTGTGTACCATCACCAGAGCAGATGAAAAATGAGACCAGCGCTGGAATGACACCTGTCCCCCGTCCCGTAGCCAACCGTCTCCCTCACTGTGTTATTGTGTGGAGTAGAACAGGACATGCATGGAATATCATCGGGCAACATGCTGCTGGGTGATTTCAAAGTGACACAATGAGAAGGCGCAGTGTTCACAGAACCAGACCACCACGGAGGGCAAACACTGACAACGTTTAAATCATCACTCAGGATCTCTTCCGTGTGCGGCAGAGACCATGGCAATTTTCTATAAAATAGGGCACGTCTTTCCACTGTGCGCATGATGAAGTAACACCATCCTCCACCCCGCCTATCTATGCCCATTTATTTTTAAGACAGTCCAAGGAAGCATACTTTTACATGCAAATATATACAGGGTGCTTAAGAAGTCAGAAGATTTTTCTTTAAAAAAATTAAATTTAGAGACATAGAAAAAATAAGTTAACTGCTTCACAAAATCCAATTCCAAAATAGTCTGTTGGGGCAGAAATCTTCAGCTTTTCACATTCACTGTGTTCAGCTCTGAGGCTTTTCATTCTATTTGCACAACATTTTCCAAATGCCATCTTGTGAGGTGGGTGACACCACGAGAAGGTGTGAAGCTCCCCCAGCACAGTGTCTTTCTGTTCCAAATATACTGTTTGCCCATCTTCATGGGACAAAGTCAAAAAGAATGAAGTTATTGTATAAGGACACATTGTATATATTTGCATTTAGTACCCAAAAAACTCAAATGCAAAAATTACTGTTACGATAAAAAATAAGAGTTAAGATTAGAGAACGTTAAGTGCCACCACATTTCAATTAAAAATAGAAAGTATTAATAGGAAGAAGGCATAATATAGTCTCTCTAAATTTGCTTTTTAAAATAAAACATACTTTTATTTGACATAAACAGAATTCTGAAACTTTCTCAAATATCTCAAGAAAAAAACAATGTTACCATAAAGAGCGAAATCTTGACACTTAAATAGAAAGTCTATTAAAAATCTATTTCCTATTTCATTGTTGTAAAGCAGAATTATAGATAAGAGAAAAACCTCAATGACAACTAAATTTTAAAGTTTTTCTTAAAACATAAATATGTTTACTTATAATTAAATTTTAGCAACAATAACAATAGAAAAATAGGATGCTTAGACCAAGACCCCATGAATACATTATCACAGGATACACAGCAACGGAAGAAAACAAATACAGGCACACTGAATGGCAACAGGGAAGGAGTAAGAACTCGCTAATGACAAGAGGCAGTCCGAGGAAAGCCTCCAGAGAAGGAGCTGCGTGGCTGCCCATCAGCAGTGAGTGTCCAGCTCTCCTCAAACTCAGCGCAGAAGCAAGAGGATGGCTGGGACAGGGCAGTGAGGGTCTATGATACTCAACAGAGAGTTCTGGTCAGATAGCAACAGAGGGCACAGACAGCTTATTCAGAAAAAGAGGAAAAAAGGCTCACTTTTAGAGATGGTTTTTGTGGCAGTCCAAACAAATTTGAGATGGACTGAAAACATTCTTTCATTAAGGAGGAAAGTGGTTAGATGAGAAATTACTCTCTTTGTAAGTTGGGAGGTGGAATGGTAAAAAAAAGGACCTTTGAAAGCGAAAAAGGGAAAGAGAGATCATTGAGGAAGGAAAAAAAGAAAGAGAGGGAAGACACAGCCAGAGGAACTGGGAGAAGAGAAAGAGGAGACAGAAGGAACAGAGCACGAGGGAGGATTTGGAAGGAAGTGGAGAAGTGCAGCAACAGGCCACGGAGGAAAATCTTTCCAGGAGGTATGCCTAAGACAGAACAAGACAGAAGGAACGTAGGAACATAGGCGAAAGATGCCCCCAGATTCCATGGCAGCAATCCAAAGACCTGTCACTGTCTTCATGGCGGTTTATGAGAATTACAACCGCCAATCCCCACAGACGACAGTTCCCACACTTCTGGATCCAAGCAACACAGAGAATGACACAACACTTCAAACTAAAACTCCCACAGTACCTGGCGATATATCGCTTCCCCATGTACTGGAACTGGTGCAAGCAGACTCTGCAGAGAGAGTGAAAGATTACTAGGGAGCGATAAAGTCACTGGAGATGAAATTATTTTTGACACATGGCTTTGTTTAAACCCATTTACAGTAACATGTTCAATAAGCTCTTACATCTACCACTAGCCCCTTACTTCTGGTTTTCAGAAATTCTCTGGAAGGTCCCTCTAAACCCAGGGAAAATGGTCAAACACAAGGGAGGCCGCATATTGCGCTGCTATCAGTGCCATGGTGGCTGGTTTGAGCAACGCAGAAGAAAGGCCCAGGACCGACAGGATTGACTGTTGACTTTGGGTGTGGATATTTACTCCACGTCTGCCTTAGAAGGCATGGTGGAAACCATATGCACTGTTCCAAGTTGCTTATACCGTTCTCATTCAGCCTATGTAAGGAGCTTTCTTTTCTGATTCAAGTAAATGGACTGGCTCCTTACAGACATCAAGTTATGTATTTTTTTGTTTTATTTTACTGTATTTTATTTACAACATTGATTGTTTTTTTAAAAAAATCATATATTTAATAAGAGTCAGTTAAAACAACGTCTAGTAAGTTCTTCTGAACTTACTAGAATCTTGTCTCACATGTGACAACTCCCACCTTTAACTCAGCAGAGGAAGTGACCATGAATTTGGGGACCAAGACCATAATTCCAAAATGCACAAAGCTCTGAACACCATGGGTTTGCCCTGAATTCGTGCAAACACATTTGGCAGCAAATTCATGACCCCAACTAACAGAGGTAAAGCTACCTGGTCATGATTTAACCTACTACTGTGGACAATCATAGTATACAGAAATAACTTCTTACTGCAGAAACAATCACGTGCTTGACTGTGGGGTGCTGCGGAATATACTCTCTATGTAAATTTTTCAAAAATCCAAAAAATTCTGGATTTGAAAACTCATCTGGCCCCACTAGTTTTGGATAAGGGATTGTAGATTCGTGTTTCTGGAAGTAAAAAGCTTAAAGGAAAACAGAAACTTAAACTAAAGTAATAAAATAATATAGACTGTATTTAAGATTTCACTTTTACATATTTTTTAATTGTAGCAGTTTTTATGTCTCAGTTTCTGAGTATCACCCACCGAATTCAGCTAATAAATGTTGTGTTATTTTATTAAAATGGCTTATACGCACAAGTAGTAACCTCTCATCTTCAATAATCACATATCTAATCATTTAAGGCTGTCACTGTCCACTGGGTCATGAGCCCCTGAGAGTGGGTGTTGGGGTTAGGTCCAGGAGAAAGAGCTTAAGGATAAGTGTGGATGTGAATATATATTGCATTCCTGGTTCAACTGTTGGTGCACTGTATTCTTCACACCTCTTAACTAGCCAGGAAAAATCAAGAGTCAATGAGCAAAGACGAAACTACTCACTCCAATATTGTAAAAAAATCCATAAGTTCAGATGTTGAGGCCTTGTTCCAATATGTAAACAAAGCATCTGGAAAGTAAACATTTATTTGATTAGAATTATAATGCCTATTTCATACATTATAAGATGGGAAGAGACCTCAGAGTGTAGGCCTCCAAACTTTCCTCGGCCCCCTTTTATAGTTGACCAGAGGATAAACCACAGTGACTAATCTATTATAATGGGTAACATGCACAACAGGCTTAGTCAGTATGAAGAAGCTACATTTGAACTTTAATTTCAGCATGCATCATCTAGCCCTGCATGGTACCTATTTAACTTATACATAATGTGCTCTTAAATGGACTAGAAAATTACCCACTACAGAATCCCTCCCCAGTAGAGAATCTGTTGAAAATTCTTACATGTACGTAAGTAACCCCTTCCCAACACACACACACACACACACACACACACTCTGCAGTGGAAGCATGTATCCTACAGGCACTGTTTTGCCCTTTGAGTTTTAATTCAGCAATTAAGCCTGGATCTATCTCAGTCTTTTCCAAGCTGCATAACAGTCCTCTCCATGGATGTACTACAACTGAGTTAACCAGTTCCCCTACTGACAGACATTTACTTGTTCTTCCCCCCCAATTCTTTGCTATTATAAATCATGCTACGGTAAAAATCCTTTTTACATGCGTCCTTGCACACTTGTCCAACTACATCTAAAGGAGAAATTCTTAGAAGTGAACTAGCCATGTTAATAGTGTGTACATTTAAAATTTGACATATATTGTCAAATAGCCTTCCAAATAACAATGTATGAGAGTTCCTATTTCCTAGCATGATGGTACAATGTACCAGTGGTTAAGAACCACACCTGCTCTTTATCAAGAACAACTGGGCACATCTTTAGTTAAGGCAAATCCTACAAATTCACTTACAGGAAGCATTCTCTGTGTATGACTCTTAACCATTCGACATTGCACAAAGAGTGTTAGCTAAACATTTTTGCCTTCTCACATTTTACATTGAAGTTGAGAAATGCGTTAAAAGATTTCTCTCAGGGAAAAAGCCACTGAGTCTTTGGGGCCTGAGATGAGCAAGAGGCTGGCTGCAGAGATGCTGGAGGCTCATGAAGATGCATGGCAACGGACTTTTATCCTACACTTGTCAAGAACAGTGACAGGCGGGAGAAGCCGTGGGATACATACCAAGTACCTGCTATGCACCAGGCACTGTGTTAGGTCTCATGATTTCACATATATCCTGTCATCGAATCCTCACCATGATCTGGGGCAGAGTTTCCATTTACAAATGAACTAATGAAGGCTCAGAGAAGCTAAGTAACTCTCCCAACTGCCAGCTGACAGAAGGCCGGTGGCATGGCGATTTAAATCAAGTGCACCTGATTTTGAAAGCCATGCCTGGCCTCTTAGACCAGAGGGTGGGTCGGGGAGCTTCCATCTCTTGGGGGTTTCAAGTTTAGAATCCAGAGAGACGGACTCTGGTTACTTGAGGCTGGTGTGTTGGGAACCCAGGGAGTTCCCTGGATGCTGGGCCCCTCGGGGTCAACTTGCAGACACCTGAGGCCAGCAGACAGAACCAGCTGGCCAGCCGGGTGGTACCATCGTGGCCTGTCCTTGCTCTGTGCTCTGGCTATTGGCTGAGGAGGGGGAAAGACAGAGCTAAGCTCTATTACGGAGAAAGGAGGCACAAGAAGGCACAGAGGGCGAGGGGCCCTGTGTGTAGAAGGTGCGCATTAAATGTGGGATAAAGGAAAGAGTAGCGACAGAGCTAGTTACACAACTGATTTTGGTTATCTGTCTGGTAAACTATTCTAAAGGCAATTTCTCCCCCACCCCATACTATACACAAAAACCAATGCTTGGTAGATACTAAGATTTAAATGTGAAAATTTAAATAATACAGCTTTTAAAGAAAATACAGGAGAATATCTTCAGAGCCTGGGGGGTAGGTAAAGATTTCTTAAATGAGACACACAAAAAATTCTAATTATAAAGGGGAAAAAAAGTGTAACAACAGTAGTTGTAAAAAAAAGGATATTCTAAAACTGTTTTGAAGAAGTTGTTGCATTTTTTAAATATGTGCCTGGCCTTCCAAAAGGCTGACTTTAAAGGGTAACTTTCACTTGGATGCAAAATTTCTTGTATATTTGTTTTTTAAAAAGTTATTTTCTAGTTACACATCACATTTAATATTTGAAATGTAAAATATTTTAAAGAAAACTTTCAATAAAGGAAAAACAGGACTATAATGCTGGCTGAAACTCACTACCATGATGAAAATTGAGAACGTTTGACTTAATGGGAAGAATTTCAACTTTCTAACTGAAAAATCAGAGTAAGAGCCTGGGGCTTTTGTATTTGGTCATCATTCACAAAAAAAAATCTTGTCTGTTTGTGTTTTTCAAAATAGCTATTTTAAAGTAACAAGTTGACAGAAGAGTAAAATCTTCCAGTTCCAAAGCATTTTAAGGATCATATGCTGCTCCTAACTTCTGAGCTACAGGTCAGGCTCTTAGTGCTGCCGAAATGGAAGCTCGATACAAAAGAAACACTATTTGCAGCAGAAGTACCTTCCCCTGGATGCTCAATGCCCACACCCCCTGCCACCAGACAAGTGGGCTTCAGGTCTCCAAAAATGGCATTTTACTTTCAAAAGAGTTTATCTTCTCTCAATGACCTTAATGAAGCTCACAGTACCCTTCCTAATTTGTTACAGGAAAATTAAGAAGATTTTTGACCAAGGTAAGAACTGTGACATTACACTATGGCACAGTTTCATGTGATTGCTTATATCACACAATCAGAGTTGGAACTGTCCTGCCATGAATGTTTACAAGCTTTAAATGGTACTGATAAAGCATTAATGGTTGTGGTCATTTCTATTTAAAAATGTCGTTGTCAAACCCTTAATGAGAAGCTTAATCTACCAGAATACCACTATTTCCATTAGAAAACTAAACACACCCCACCTCTAGTTAAAGCCAGGAATGTCACACACACTGTAAATGGAAGAGATGCTTAGGTCACCAACACTACATTCTCTAATTCAAGAGACTGACTAATAAAATTATACAAGTTGCCAGTAAGTTTGCTTGGACAAATGAAATTAAAAAGAAAAAAATCAAAAGCTACTTCATTTATCTGCTTCCGTCTCCCTTAGTGAAGATGTATGTCTGAGCTTAATATACATTTTTAAAATACGCCATTCACATTTTAGCACTCTTTCTGAAATACAATAATTAATGAAAATAAATTTCCAAATTAAGACTTTTATTTCTAGTACATTCAGTAAATTAATATGTATTTCAAACAAGAGAGAAAATCCCTTTAAATCCTTAAACACTTTGAACCAACTACAATTTTTAAAAAATAAACCAAATACTGAAACAAGGAAAGTAAAACAGGTATCTTCATTTTTTTACCTACCATCAGACATGCTTTTTAAGATGTAGAGGAAACACATCAGCAGGCTCTTAATCTCAGACTGGTCAAGTTTGTCACAGCGAACGACAGAATTTCCCAAAGTGCCACTTTGCTGGTGCTAAAGAAGGAAACAGAGGTGATTCTTCTCCTTCGTTACAGGTAAAACAAAATTAGGTTCACTTTTCTCCCTTGGAAGAGAAAGAGTCTTAGAATTGAGTCAAATCATACAAATTGGAAGGTATAAATGATTTGTCAACGAACTACAAGCACACTGTCACCAAATACACACAAGTGTTAATCCATGGAAGCTCTGTCTTGTCTCCTTGGCACACTCTCCCGGGACAAGCCAGAAGGCACGGACCTTTCAAACTGAAAAACCAGTCGTAGTTGTCGGCTTAGTGCCGAAATGCCAAGCAAAACTTCATGCAAAAAACTGTGCGTGCTAAGATCAAAAACAAATGATGATTCAGAAGACAGTACCAAACCAAACATATCCTCAGGAAAACGTCAGTGGCTGAAAACAGCAAATTAAGTCCAAGGGGCTGCTATGGACCAGCCACTAAAGCCTGGAGCTGAGTCACCGTTATTCCGTTACATCCTAGGGCAGCCCTGGGGGAAAACCACAGGCAGGTGCCCGATAGGGACAAACAGGGACACCTCAGTGCAGCAGGACCAAAGCCCCTAAACTGATGAGATCACGCCATCATCAGCTTAGCTCAACACTGCAAACTTCAGAAAGCTCAGGGCGCAGGGTGAGGGCAGCTTTGCCACTAGACCGCAGGTTCACACCATGTTCAAAGCATTCACTTAAAGAAAAAAGAACAAGAATCTCATCTCATTTAAAAAACACAAGAAATTTAAAAATCTTGAAAGTTATATTTCCAATTGAAATCTGGAAAAATTTTTTGCCAAATACCAAAGCAGAAAGATCAGTGAAAAAATATCTTTCATTCAAGGTACTGGTGGGCAATGGAAAAGATATATACTAATCGGGTTTAACTAATAACATAACACGAGTATTTTTATTATAAGAAGAGACACACTGCAATTAGCGGCAAAGCCGTGGTGCCGGCGTACCTCCCGCCCACCCACTTCATCAGCGCCGCTGGGAGAGCCCAGGCCTCCCTGCAGCGGGAGCAGGGGCGCCGCCTGTGGGGCCTCTTCCGGCAGAGGCAGCAGCGTTAGCAGCGAGAAGTCCATGGTGACCCGGTGTCTCCTGGCTGACTGGCCGCTCTCCTCCTCTCCAGCTCCGCGTATGACACAAGCCGAGTGCCTTCTGAGCAGCTTCTCCCTCTACGCACGAAGGCATGTCAGGGTCAAGGGAAAAGTTCGACAGGTCATGACACCTGCGCGGAGACGCTCGGACGGCTACAGAACCGCAGCTGAGGGTCATCACGGCGAGGTCGACCACACAACCGCGGTAAGGTTACGAAGCTGACCCCGAGGAAGGGCGGCTTCCACGTTTCTGAGAACTAGGAATACATCCCTAAGAGAATCACGTGTTTATTGGTACATAAACCTATAACTTAACCTATACATAACTTGTCTATAACTTGAAATAACTTAGGAAAACAGTGGCCGAGGTGAGACTAATCTATCATGGTTCCAGGTTTAAATCCAAGCTTTATCCATTTGCACAAAATTCCAAACTTAGGTATTTCAAGAAAAAAATAGTTAAATATGAGGAGAATGTGTTGTGTTGGGGGCACAGTATGAATAGAGTGATTTCAAATAAAGCCTTGTCCCTGCATCATCTGTACAACTGATTAATCTTTTCTGGAGCCAGCTTCGGATCCAACGCCCATTCGCACGGACAACTGTGTTATAATTGGTGTTCCCTGGCACACAGACCGTGGGGATTCTAAGCAAGTGGCATTTTGATTTCCCTACCTGTTCAAACTGCCAGAACCACTGGCTCAAAGTGCTCCACTGTAAACACTGCCCTGATGAAATCCTACAACAGGAACCAGGGGGTTTCAGGGAATGGGCTCCATCCCTAGACCATACTCTGAGATCATCTACCCCAGGTTAACTGAGTTGTTTAAGGAAAAAAAGAAAAAAGGTCATACTTACTGAACACTAGAACATGAAGCATGTTTACTTTGGGCTAAATCCATTAGTTATAAGAAACACTTAAGTTACATTAAAAGAAATTACCTTATCCAGGGAATTGCTCTTCTCACTATTCCTTTCTGGAAGGCTGTTCCCGGAATCTGTGCTTATGAGGGATCCTCTTGAATCAGCATTTCTCACACTACTGATGTTTGGAGTTGAGTTTGTATACGGAGAAGCTAAACAGAAATCAAGCCAAGACCAAAGATTTGGTGAGACAGAACAAAATAAAAATAAGTACTGAACTTTAATAAGGGAAACTGCTTTTATGGCACTTATTTTTCCTGTGAGAAAGCTGGCTCAAGAGTTTCATTCAATTAACTCTCCTTTAAAGAACCAGGCCATTTAGATTGAGATACAAATAACCGTTAATCTGAAACGTTCAGACATAACTATCAATTCACTTATGAGAAACCACCTTGGATTGCTCAGACTAAAGGAGAACATGCTGGTTCAGACTGGGGTAGAATAAAGACTTCAAAAAATTAAAAAGATAAATCCACCTACAACTATCAAATAAAAAAAAACTAAACCATGCAATAAACGTGCAGTACTCAAACGGCGGGCTGAGATACCCCAGAAAACTCTGAGGGGTGTCATGGGACATTTTAAAGTTTCTAGGAAAACAGTGATACTTGACATCTGCCAGAAACTGTAGTTTCAACCTCCGACTGTGCTACATTCCTTTCCGTGATGTCATATCTCTGTGAAGCGGGGTATTTGGTGGTCGCGATGATAAAAAGCAAGTACTGGGTGAAAATCAGTGTGGAACAGGAAATGAGAATGTTGGTGAGTGATCTGATTCCAAATTTGAGAAGCCGTGTAGCGCCCAACAGTCACACACAACCCATTAGTAAGAATCGTGGTTAGTAAAAATAAAAATTTTTTTCTTTATGTATGTATATAGTTTTCAAATGCCTACTAAGTTGTTAGGTTATAAGTACTTATTATTTGGCCCTAAGTACCTAATAAACAGAACCATTAGGTGTTTCTTTTGGCCTTGGGGACTCCATGAAAAATTACTTTGATTAATAAGGGTGCTGTGAATTGAGAATGTTTGGGAATCTCTGCAATAAACAGTTACAAGCAGAAAGGAAATCTAACTTGGAAATAAAATTTGTGACATCTGTTGAAAAAAATAGCATTTTAAGGGAGAAGTCAACCCCTACCTCAATACTGTGGAATTTTTAAAAGTAATAGATCGACTTCCTGCTTAGATAAGATTTAAATAAATCACATAAGTAAAAATGACTCTTAGACTTGCACATTCTGGCTTGAACCAAAAGGCATGCCTCCGGCTACAAGGCTGGGCTGGCAGTGCACACTGCGGAAGACTTTCGGCGCCACGCTGCAGCAAGCTATAAGCACAGCCTCCCACCCCCAAGCTGCCTTCACCTGAGATGCCTTTCCTTGGCACCTCAGAACAGGCAGGCCCTTTTTGGGTTTCAGCCTGCAAATTAGCTGCCATGGGCTGATACACCTCGAAGTTAATCCTCTCCCCGCCCCTAACACTCAGGTTTATCCACCACCATCTCTGAAACCAGTTCAGTGTATTAAGTATATCAAGCAAAGAAGGGCAAGGGAATCTGAAAATGTAAGTGCAAACAGGAACACGTAAACCACTGGCCAGGGGCTGCGCCTACCCAGAATAGGAACTGTGTGATTGACTGCCACAGGGTACAGGTAAAAACCCTATGAAAAAGCCAGGGGCCTTTTTCTATACTCAGAGAGAAAAGAAACATGCACTGTGACCAAATTATAACTATCGTCTTCCTAATATAACCAGACTTCATACTTAGTGTAGAACACAGAACTCAGGAGAAAAAGGCTCTCAGTAAAGTAAAATTAGACATTAAATTCTCAAAGTTTTAGGCTCAGTTCCAGAACAAGAGTTCTAATCTAAGGCAAACAGATGTAAATGCAATAAATCAAAATCAACATGCTGGGGCTTCCCTGGTGGCGCAGTGGTTGAGAGTCCACTTGCCGATGCAGGGGACACGGGTTCGTGCCCCGGTCCGGGAAGATCCCACGTGCCGTGGAGCAGCTAGGCCCATGAGCCATGGCCGCTGAGCCTGCGCGTCTGGAGCCTGTGCTCCGCAAGGGGAGAGGCCACAACAGTGAGAGGCCCGCGTACCGCAAAAAAAAAATAAAAAAATCAACATGCTTAGTAGAACTATGTTCCTGGTGTGTGTGTGTGTGTGTGTGTGTGTGTGTGTGTGTGTGTGTGTGTTTAATATCCTGGCCCAGTGCATAACTTTTAAAAGAAGTTTAGTTCAACTCTCTCCCCTTTGTACAGACAGCAAAATGCAATACACTGAGTAGGTAGGTAAAGGAACCCTGAGCCTAAGAATGCAATTTTTTTTTAAATTAATTAATTTATTTTTGGCTGTGTTGGGTCTTCGCTGCTGTGCGTGGGCCCCCTCCAGCTGAGGCGAGCGGGGGCCACTCCTTGCCGTGGTGCGCAGGCCTCTCACTGCAGTGGCCTCTCATGCTGCAGAGCATGGGCTCCAGGTGCATGGGCCTTAGTAGCTGCAGCACACGGGCTCAGCAGTTGTGGCTCAAGGGCTCTAGAGTGCAGGCTCACTAGTTGTGGTGCACGGGCTTAGTTGCTCTGCGGCATGTGGGATCTTCCTGGACCAGGGCTCAAACCCACGTCCCCTGCATTGGCAGGCGGACTCCCAACCACTGTGCCACCAGGGAAGCCCCTAAAATGAACGTAATCTTTGAGTAGTTTTTATCCAGGCAATGAATCGGTTTCAGAAATTTTCATGCACCATGTTCCAAAGACATTAAAAAAACCGCTGAGGGTACATTCTCAGTAAGTGTGGAAACAGAATTTCCTTAAGAGACGTAAAGAGAAAGTCAGCTCTTGATAAGCACTGGGACTAAAACGAACTGGAAATTCCTTGCTGAATAAAAGAAGAATTGCTAAAGCTACCAGAAAACAACTAGTAAACCCAGTTCAAAGGTGGGGGCTGCTTTCCTGGAAGGCATTTCTAAAAGGAAACAAGGATTAAAGTGTTTAAAGATGGGGGCAACATAGATAAAAGCCTGAGTATAAATTAAGTCTATTGTGGTGAATTCCCATGAAAAGTGGATCCAGATCTTGAAATTCAAGAAAGAATGAAATGGGACAAAATTAGCCTTGAGAACTTTTTGTAACTTCACCATGAACACAGAGCAATCGAAGGCCATTTATGTCATTGAAGTTGTGCTAAAGACCCCCCTCGGCTCATCTCTATGTTCTCAAGGCACCCCAAACCCTGAAAAGGTGAATGTGGAATTGGAGAATCAAGTCAGAGTCAAAACATCACCTCATTCTAGTTTCAGCATTTCCACAAAGTCTTGAATCCTACAGAATACTGGTCAGAGAGGACAGAGAGTTAAGATTTAGGCTACTAAGAGTCTATCACAAAGCATGAATAACACTGAAGAACTGTGCTTGTTATAATGACAGTCAAATAATAACACTGTTTACCTTGCCAAGCACTGCACACATTCAACTAGCTCTTCATCCCTCACCACGACTCTATTTTTGAGATGTGGACACAGGGTAAAGAGGAGAGACACCCTGCCCATGGCAATTGTAAATGGTGGAGTTTGGATCCAAAGCCACATCTGTCTGACTTTAAAAACAGTGCTGGGAACCGCTGCAGACAAAGCCCCTGAAAGGACCCCTTCCCCACTCCCGGAGAGCGGCTGGGCTTGTGGACAGAGTGGGGCAAAGGAGACAGAGCGAGGGCCCCATGAGAAAGGCAATGGAAATACCACGTGCCAGGCTCTGCGTTTTGTATGAATTAACTCATTTCATCTTTACAACGCCAAATGAGGTAAGTATGACTATGAAAAATACACAGAAACAGAAGTAAGATTAAAGACTGGTATGAGCATTATGGGATAAATCTGAGCATTGGTATGAGGTTTCCAATTTTACAGTCTGGCCAGTTTCATCACCTACATGAAATACCACGTTAGCAACTAGAACAACACAAAAGCTAAGGACATAAACTCAGAATGAACCACAGTCCTGCAGATTAATTAGGTAAAAGGACTGCCCTTTATTCTGCCCTATGAGTTAGTTCCATTATTGGGCGGTCTAAGCAGTAGCCACAGCAGGATGCTTCATTTATTCAAGCTGTGGTGTAAAAGAGAGGAAGAAATGAAGACAGCATAAGCCTGTGAGTGTCTGTGAAGATATATATATATATTTTTTGTACCATTATCTTTATGAAGGAGCTGGCACATGTGCTCAATCAGAGTATTAATAAATGCATTTCTCAGGCATTTTCTTATGGAAAAACTACTCAATTTGAATCTTGATTTATGCCATCTGTTTTCCTCCCCATGGGGGCTGCTCTAACATTATTTCAGATAGAAAAAATATTGTAGGAAAGAAGATTTTAGAAAACTGATTTCAGGACTGCATTCTAGCCATAAACCAGTATCTCCATCAGCAATTAGTCTGTCACATCTCATCTAAATCGTTAACACTACAAATAAATCCTACCCACCACACACACACTTGCAAAGATATTCTTTTCCTAAAAGTATAAACAATCTAGTTTGAAGGTTTAAAATGAAAAATTAACACGCATTAAACAAAAAGCAAACAGGACAAATATGTGGTTAAGTGTACTACATGTGTTATTCCTGAAATCTGAGATCTTTATTTCAGTGTAGAGTTAAGGGTTTCATAGCTGAGGAGCAAAATCAGGAAAAGAATATTTGAAGTAGAAACTCAAGACTTCAAAGTTCTGATTTGAAAGCTAACAAATGATTGGATTAAAGACGCTTTCCGAATTAGACTGCAGAGAAGCAGGTCAGAGCCCGAGCATTACCAATGCCAGAGATGGCACCAAAGAGGTCCTTGTGCAGACTGGCATCCAGCGTGCTCCCAGACTTCTGCGGTGTCACTATCGGGTTCACGGCTGGCAAAGTAAGGGATTCCTCCTTCACAGTCTGTCGAGGAGGAGAGAGACAAGAAACAATTGAAGATGACTTTAAAGGATTCACCAACAGTTCTTGCAAGTGTGAGGGCGAGCATAAGAACAGGACAGAACAGCCTGGCATGTTAAACGTGCCTGAGTGGGAGGAGCACAGCACGGGGTGGAGGTGGGGTGTGTGGGTCAGAGAAGCGGCAGGAGGAGGGAGCACGGGGCACGTCAGGTCTGGGGCGGGCAGAGAAACCTTGGCCCATGAAGTCCTGTATTTCCCCAGGAGGTCTAGCACCCTTCCCTTTCCAGAGCTCTGATGCCCAACATTTCTGTAGATTATTTCAGTATGTTTCTTCCTTCAGAAGAAGCCCCACGTGCTCTTTCTAACTGGAACGTTGCTTTTTTTCTCTCACATCAGAAATCTTCCCAAATGAGCAACAGTGACCTCACAGTAGCAGCAGTGAAAACCTCTGCAAGGTGGGTGCTTCGTGTGAATTCTCAATCAGTGGAGAAATTATGTTCATTATGAACTTATGTCATAAAAGGGATTTTACTTTCATGAAAGCCAAAGCAAAAGCTGGTGTTCATTTTTCTCAGGATTGAAGCAGTACAGATAGGTAGCATTACACCCTGAATTACTTATTCCGATTAGAAAAGCAGACAAATTTAGAGAATACACATGTGAAATACAATGTTGTCGAGGGTGAGATTAGTGTGGTGCATTCCATGTAAGGACAGTGAACATTCACGCTCTTTGGAACTACAAAAACTATTCTATAAACACGGTTCATCTCAATGCACCATCACGTAGGAGATGTATAGAAAACAGGACAAAGCACCACCTGCTTTGGGACAGAAATACACACAAGGGAGCTCCCCCCGTGTATGCCATAATGACAAAGTGGCAAGATGAACAATGGAGCCGGTTCACGGGGCCAGAATAAACAGGAAAAGGGCACTGCTGAACTGCTAACACCTATCCAAATTAATGCCAGGTTGTCTCCAACCAAAACACTTTGAGATCATTTCTGGCATCATCCTTCAGTCAACTTAATTTCCAGTATATCTTTAAATGACTGCATAAAGCTAAAGTAAATTAAGGTGGTCAGTTTGGGGAGGTGGGGTCATTCACCCTGGCCCCCCGATATCTAGTCTGATTATCTTTCTAATTTTACAGACACAGAGGAACTTCAGCCCAAAGAGGTGGCTTTTCCAAGACTGTGTAGTATGTTACATCAGAACAGGGGCTAGCACTGAGCTCTTATAGCACGGAGGTTAGAACTATGCTTTTTTTAAAAAAAACAAAATAAACTCCTTCCTCTATAACTTTTTGTTGGATACACAAAGAAGATCCTGAAATCTTACAAGAAAACAAGCCATCAGGAAAGCATGGCTTTTTATAATGATTTTTTTTTTTTTCTTTTTCTTTCCGGTTTGCGGGCCTCTCATTGTTGTGGCCTCTCCCGCTGCAGAGCACAGGCTCCGGACGCGTAGGCTCAGTGGCCATGGCTCATGGGCCCAGCCGCTCCGTGGCATGTGGGATCTTCCCAGACCGGGGCACGAACCCGTGTCCCCTGCATCGGCAGGCGGACTCTCAACCACTGTGCCACCAGGGAAGCCATATAATGATTTTTAACAAGAGTTGAAGGTTTACTGATTGACCCCATCTTAGCCAGAAATGCAACTTACCAAGGCTACTGTAGATTTTTATGGTTTTAGGGGCAAAAAAAGAGGAGACGTGTATAGTTGAATAGTGTCCCTCCAATTGCATATCCACCCTGAACCTCAGAATGTGACCTTATTTGGAAAGAGGGTCTTTGCAGATGTAATTAAGATGTAAGATAGGATGATGTCATCCTGGATTAGGGTGGGCCCTAAATCCAAGCACTGGTGTCCTTATAAGGACAGGACAGGACACCAGAGACACAGACACACACCAGGGAGAACACCATGTGAAGACAGAGGCAGAGATTGGAGTGATACAGCTATAAGCTAAAAAAAGCAAGGATTTCGGGCAACCACCAGAAGCTAGGAGAAAGGTGTAGAACCAGCTCTTCACCCAGAACCTCAAGAAGGAACCAACCTAGCTGACATCTTGATTTTGGACTTTGGGCTTTCTGACTGTGAGAGAATAAATTTCTGTTGTTTTTGGCCACCCAGTTTGCGGTATTTTGTTAGGGCAGCCACAGGAAGCAAATACAGGCTGTGTCTATGTGAATGTGCTTACGTACACTGCCAGGGTTCACGGGGAAGGGAGACACATCTCTCACGTTGATCCGCTGGACATTCTCAATCAGCAGACCGAACAGAGGCAGGTAGAGAGTGGCTATCCTTGCCTGATGGCTCTGAAACAAAGGCGCAAAGCGTAAGTTTATCCCGGACTCAGAATTTAATGATGGACTGAGCTAGCACTTGGCCATCACCTGTATTTGGATCCTTCCTATAAAGATTGCTGTTAGATTTTATTGCATAAACAGAGAAAGTCTTAGTGCTGTTACCACTAATTTTCTAATTGCTTATTTCTTTATATTACTCAAAATGAAGGACACTTATCAATCATATTTCCTTCCATTAGAGAACACTCACCCTGGAAGCATATCTGTCATCAAAAGAATGCTTTATCAGCAGGTTCTTAAGCACACCAATGGCAATCAGCCGGACCTCCCTGAACTCCTGGAGGGCGGTCCCCACCTCCCTCAGTAACAGTCCCACCAAGAAGTGGTTTCTGCAGAACTCATCCGTTAATGCGTAGTCAAGGTGGAGATCTGAAATGAGGATAGAAACCGCTTTAGTTAGAAAGGATGTAACACTCTGTGAATAAAATAAAAACCAAGCCCATCCTTTGCTTTCAGCCTCCCCTGTGTGTGTCATCAGGTGGCCACATCTGCCTTCCAAGGGGAAAGGGCTGATAACCTAAAATACTGCTCTGCACTCTAAAGTGAAAACAAAATTTAAATACAAATAAATGCACTGGATTTTGATTTTAAAAGGTATTACATCCTACATAATTATTAAGTTAGTGAATAGTTTTAGTACCAATTTTTAGAATACAGGACAACATGTTATATTACAAATGTAATTTTGTTATTGATATGAAATTTAAAAATAAAATTGTAGTAACTGACAACATTACTGGGGAGTAATTTGTGCATAAGAGACATGTAATTAAAGAATAAATATAGGTGGCCTATTAAAATGTTCTTCACTACATGAGTTCATTTATCGATTTCCTAGTCATTAATGCCCATATACGCCCATTAAAACCCAACGTGTTTAAAATGAACGAGTTACCATATTACCTATTATTTTGCTATCACTGAAGATCTTATTTGACTTAGAATTTTCTAAAATATACTCTTAAAACTTCTTTACCTCAAAAAGCCAATAGAAAACTGAGATAAATTAGAACTAAAATGGACAAAGCACCAAATCAAACTAGTAAGTCATCAGCAAGCGAAGTGACAAGACTGAAAGCTCTTCTGGAAAAGAGATAAGAAGCAGACGTGAAACCTACTGAGGGAGGGTAAATAAAAGCAGCTAAGCATCACACGCTAAAGCTGAAATACACCTATCCAGAAAGCTGTGGCTCGGATTTAAATTCTTATACTGAATCCATTGTTAGAGGAAAGTCTATAGGCCTCTCCTTTAACTTTAACGCCACGTTAGTTGCTTCTAAACCTATTCAAAGTCTGACCCAAGTCCTATGAACTCTTTAGCAGAAGGAAGGGAAAGAGCGTTCATCTTTCCAGAATACTCATGTCCACTGTTTACGATTTTTTTTTTTTTTTTTTTTTTTTTGCGGTACGCGGGCCTCTCACTGTTGTGGCCTCTCCCGCTGTGGAGCACAGGCTCCGGACGCGCAGGCTCAGCGGCCATGGCTCACGGGCCCAGCCGCTCCGCGGCATGTGGGATCTTCCCGGACCGGGGCACGAACCCGTGTCCCCTGCATTGTCAGGCAGACTCTCAACCACTGCACCACCTGGGAAGCCCTGTTTACGATTTTTAGGTCCAGTTTACTGAAAAGACAGTTCATAGCTTGAATTCACATGATCCCCTTAGAAGGAAAACTATTTATGGGTTTAATTGCACACGTGTGTGTGTGTGTACGTGTGCATGTGCAGAGAGGAGAGTGGAGGAGCAGGTGAGAAGGGTAAGAGGAAGGAGGATGCTGAAAAAAAAAACGAAACTTTATTCCTATCAGTGCAGTTATGGAAATTATCTGTAGCTGACCCACCACCTGCCTAGGGCAGCCCTTCCAGCCGCCAAATACCCCGACAGTCTACTAAGAGCTTGTGCGAGTCTGGGGTACCTGAAGGCTCTCCTCCTCACTCCTCACTTGGTTCTACAGGATAGACAACTGGGCCAGTGGGGAAGACGGACATTAGCACACGTTCACTGCCCAACCGCTGGGCAGCAAGAGCTATCCTCAGCACCCTGAGAGGTGAGAGGAAAACGGTCACGGTCTCCAAGGACAGGTGGGCTAGGAACTGAAGGTGGGGTGAAGGAGGGTCTGGGGTGCAGGGTAGGGAGCAGTTCACTCCAGGTGGGGCGCTGGGAGAGGCAAGGGGGAGACCTGGCTGGGCCCACAGGGGAGGTGCTGAGTGACTGGCCAGGAGGAAGACAGGATGCCCAGGGAGGTGCTGTGTGAGGCTGAGAAGTGCGGGGAGGGCCTGCCATGTGTGAGGAGCTGGGACCAGCAGGTGCGCCTGGCCTGTGGGGAACAGTGCGGGGTGGGACAGGCGGGTGGGCTGGGGTTGGATGGGGGATGCTGAACAGCCCAGGAGCTCAACCCCTCACCTTCTTCAATTATCACCCCAAAGTTGCCTTCTCAGTCAGGCTTTGCCTGGCCACCCGATCTCAATGCCAGCCCATTTCCTATCCCCTTCCCTTGCTTTATTTCTCTCTCCTTAGCACTTATCACTCTCTCATGTTCTACATATTTCACACAGGTAAGACAGCAGGGGATTTCATCCTTGTTGTCCACAACTCTATACCAAGGCTAGGGAGAGTTGGTGCTGAGCAAATATTTGCTGAATGCATGACTGCCGACTTCAGGCCGCAGTCCCCCTTCTTGCTCTTTAAAAGGCAAGGTATTTATGTCTCTGAATGAATTCCTTTTTGAGTTTCTCTCTGAATTTCAGAGTCAGTTGATTTAGGTGTCATTAATAGTTTGGTGGCATCCTTCCACTTTTTCTCTCCTTTAGCATAAATAATCCTGAGCACATACAAGGTGCTAGATATTACTTGACAGACCCAAGAGACGAATTTGATTCATTTGACTTACTCAGTGAAGACAAAGAAATCTCTATGACCTTAATTCTCTTCAAACTCAGAAAGGATACAGAACAGTTAATAAAGACTCAGCATGCAAACATAAAAAGCATGTGAAAAGCCATGTTGCTTGTGACATAGGTTACTGCTACTGCTATAAACAAGGACTATGAAAATGGTGGAATAGTACATTTTTGAAATGAAGCAGAGCTTTTTGTTTATTTGCTTTACTTCTTAAAGAAACATCCTAGAGGACCTAGTGACCCCAGGAGCAAAAAACCAGATGACTCCTGGGAATGCTATGGCAATGTCTTAGCTACAGTGAGAACAAATTCACTGGTTTATCATCAATTTTAAAACTGATCCAAGTATATGGCAAATGCCTACATGAATAGCATACGTAAGCATTTCAGCAATCACTTGCATTCTTTTTCTTTTAAAGGAGGAAGATGCAAGAAAGCAAGCGTCACACCCCACACCTACCTACAGGAGTGTCATTTGACTCCACAGCTGGTGAAAGAAAAGCTAATTCATAAGAAAAAAGAAAAGTGAAACAAATAAAAATAAACTACAGTAAATAAAATGGATTACTATTGTTTAAGCAATGGAACTTTTCAATGAAAAAGAGTCACACTGGCATGATCTGTAGTCTGGTAAATTTGCTAAAAAGAAGTAAGTTCCTACATAGCATTTTATCAATTTTTTTTTAATGGAAATTTAACAAGAAAAAAAATCAATTCATCAATGAAAAATATCAGATAATTTGAATGTCATGTGTGAACTAATTCTCTTTTCTTATTAAAAATGAATGGCTCTCTTTCTGAAAAGACTAGGATTAATATATTTCAAGATAAATTACCTTGGTATCTTTGAATCCTGCCTTTTCCAAATGGCATTGGTAAATTCAATGGAATATAATGTTCATGATTGCACACCACACGGAGAAATTCAAATTTGTATTCAAAGAGGGTCTGCAGGAAAAATATGGTTAGTCGTAAGTTAAATGCCTCAGTGGATACTTTATACAGCCTCCTGAAAAACCTATTAGGAATCACACACTCGTCTTTAGCCTCTTCCCTGTCTTAGAGCTGCAGGCTCTGGGCTATTTTACAGATTTCAGAATGTCTGCAGAAATTTGTTTGAAAATTGGGAACACATTTCATTAAACAATGTCCTCCACTGACTTTAAGGGCATTTATGATTTATGCTCCTCTTACTTCAATAAAGGATTTCAGGCAGCTTATAATTATAGGCACAGGCTCAGTGCAATAAAAAAATGCGTAAGGCAGAGCTTTAAAATAGACACGCAAGGGAAGAGACAGATAATTCTAGCAGAGAAAGGCTACATGGTTATTTCTGTTACCTTGTTAAATAAACTATGATTTGCAACACATATACTTTTAGTTTTGCAGCTGAGAAGTCATTTAAGGTATTTATGAGAAAAATCAACAGGTATTTATGTTGCATGTGGAATTACTGTGTCCCTAATATCTCACACATTAATGCAAGTACTAGTTAGTACTAGTTAGTATCTCCAAGAGAGGAGAATGAATAGTGCCTCTGGGACTGAAAGAAAATTCTGATGTGAACCAAGAGAAACAGGTGGGTATCCAGATGTCACTCAGAGAGACAAAAAGAACAGTGTGTAACACACACACACACACACACACACACACACACACACACGTGCGCACAGGCTACCTTAGGATCTCCAGGAGCAAAGCAGCTGATGTAGTTGTTGATCTGCTTAAAGACAAAGCCCCTATCCATGAAGGTGAAACATCTCTGTGGAGGAAACAACCCACAAAGGTTAAGTATTTAGGCTTTTTTTGAAAGTTGGCTTCTAATCTGCATTTATTGTGAGTAAGTTTATCCTTTGGCATAAAAACCTGCCATCAACGTTCACTAAGCATCTATATGTACAAGTCACTCTGCTAGAAAAAGCACATTAGGCACTTGGCAGACACCCTCTTCCCCGGAGGCCCCCACCTTGATGAACACAGCCAGGCTATGATTCGCATTCTTAGATGCCTCCGGGTTATCTCGAAACTTCTGAGTGATGTGTGGCATCAGCATATTCACAACAGTTTCCACTGCATGATGATAGGATGCAGGAAATCTCTGGTTTCGCAATAACTAAAAAGGATTTAGAGCAAACATTTATTATTTTTTAAGTTGCAACCTTCGAGGGGAAAAAAAAACACCTCATCCCTGAGTTCATTTCAAAAACCCAGGGCTCTCATCTTATTTATCTGAAATTAGATAAGATAAATTATTCTTTCTTCTCTCGAAGTACTGTATGAGTATTCTAATACTTCAAATAAATGCTGTGGATCAGGTCTGAGATGTTAGACTTCAGTATGATAAAGACCACCGTGGAGGTATTTATAAAAATGTGGAGATGCACCTTTACTTCCAGAGATTCTGATCAGACCAGCATTTTTACTGCATTTTACTTTGATTCTCATGCCTGTATCTTTCAGAGATTTCTTTAGAAAACACTGTCTTAGGTTTAAGCCTCAAGTACTCAAACTGAACACACACAGAATGGTGACTGTATGTCACTAGTTGAAACTGCTTAGAAGTCCTCTTTAAATTGACTTTACATAATAATTTTTCCCCATCAGGAACGCTTACCTAAGAAATTACACACAGATCACTTAGCAATTAGCTACCACTTACCATATATCTTCTACACACCAGGCACTGCACTAGATATTTTTATGTACTTTTTCATTAAATTCTTAAACACCCTCATATTATAGAGGGTCAGAGAGGTTAGGTAAATGTGTCTTCAGTCACACAGCTAACAATAACAAAGATTCAAAGCCAGATCTACAATGAGTTTAAAGCCTATGCTCTTTCTGCTCTGTGATGCTGCGCTGCCCCCTCTGGCCCCAGTGCATGGAACCATTTACTGAAGGCCTGGAATGTGAAGGGGGCTGAACTGGATGCTCCTCGACACTTACCCGTGCATGCACGTGATTCTAAGAGCACGTAATTCTAACAGCCACAACAGGGGGGTGTTTTCATCCCCACATTACAGATGAGATGAAACTGAAGCTTGGAAGGATTCAATAAAAAATACTAACTGACCTTTAATATCTTTCCTTTCCTTCTCCCTTTTAGTGGCAGAACTCCTGGGTTTTACAGGGCACATGGCTGCCCAGCTAGAGACTGCATTTCCCAGCATAAGTTGTGGCAAGATAATGGCCACGTGACTAGTTCTGGCCAATGGGCTGTAAGAGGCTTGCCTTTCCCATAAAAGGAGCTGCTTGCCTACCAAGTCCTCCTCTTTGCCACTGCCTGGAATGTGGAGTGGTGGTGAGCCAGCTTCTCAACTATGCAGACGAGGGTGACACCTGGGCTGGATAGTTGAATAGGAGCTTGAGTCCCTGAATGATCTTGGGGGACAAGATCCCCACTGTCTGAGCTGCCTACTGGCTCATAATTTTCCAAAAGAGAGAAATGAACCTTCTGTCTTAGTTTAGCCACTATTATTTTGGCCTCTTTTGGAGCAGCCAAACCAGTATCCTAATATCAAACAAACAGTATTTTGTAAAGCTAGAACTGGAGCCTAGGTATTTATGCTATGAAAGCATGCATTATTTTATGCATTAAATACCAGAACCTACTATGAAATTTTGAAATGCCAGCTTTATAATAATCTCAGTTCTCAAACCAAAACCAAGACAATCTTAGTAAATGTACATAAACTCAAGAATCCAGTGAGGGAAGGATCAAGTCATAAGAATTGGAAGTTTACCTACTTTCAAAAACAGAAGAGTAAAATTCTAAATTCCAAAAGGATTTTGTTCCATATGTGCAAACCAGTAACTCTATATCCTGAGGTGTCAGCCTCAACAGATGATCAGCTTCCAGGAACCCAGGTAAGGCCAACTCTAACCACCAGGCATGACCGCCAGCTACCTAAGCTGGCCATTCCTAAAAAAGAGGTCTCCCAAGAAAAGCCTACAGAACGGGGCTGAGTCAACAGCTGCTTAAACCATGAAAAGTGGATGGGGAACTCTATAGTGGAAGCATGGGGTGGACCGAATGGAACCTATCAGTCAATATTATTATAACTAAAAGTGGGACAACCAGACTCCTATGCATTCTGACGTGATACAGTAGCGCCAGCTAAGGTGTATCCTTGCCACAAAGAAAACCAAACCTGAATGGAATTAAGCCTCTAGATATCACTACACAAGGGTACAGGATACAGAGGGTACAGAGAATCATGTTACGTATCACTGCAAGGTTACAACTGGCCAAATCTAGAATATGGGAAATTCTGCAGGACAAATGGTCTACTTTCCTCAACAAATACACTGCATTAAAGAAAGAAACACATGGAGAGGAAACAGTGTGAGGATCCAAGAAACTTCAGAGACACATCAACCCAATGCAGTGTGTGGACTATGTTTAGATCCTGATTCAGACCAACTGTAAAATGACATTTTTAAGACACCTGGGGGAAACGGAATACAGATGGGGTGTTGGATGATAACAGAGAAGTATTTCTAACTTTACTGAGTGTCATATGGTGCAATGGTTATTCTTTTTTAAGGCTTTATCCATTGGATATTATACACTAAAGTTTTATAGATGAAATGATAAAATATTGGGGAACTGCTTTAAAAATACTCTAGGAAAAAAGAAGTATGAGGGTGGATACCTAAAGCAAGAATGGCAGAGTGCTGATAACTGTTGAAGCTGGGTGGGTGAGAGGCACATGAGATTCATTAAACTATTCCCTTTCTTTTTCTTTTTAAAAATTTCTATAATAAAATTTTTTTAATGGTGAGATAAAGCTCTCCCTGCAGTGACAAACAGCTATTGTCAAGAGTCCTCATTTGGCAACAAAGCAATGAGGTAAGACACACATCGAAGGGTAATAAAGACTGAGGTAATGAGATGACTTTATGGAGATTATTATAAACTGAGATGGAAGAACATGATCTAGGCTAATGAGCTGATATCTAGGGGAGTGAGTGTTATAAGCGCTGGCTCAGGAGAGGACAGACACTAAGACAGCAGGAGACTTCTCAGCCAAACGAAACCTACCTCCTGACCATGTCCTGCAGCCGGATCTCCCCTTGGTAATGCTGCAGCGTCCACAGTGGCCCGGCCACCACCATCTATGCCTCCAACAAGGGCTGCCGGTGCTCGGTCTGCCGGCCCAACACCTGCCCACACCTGATCCGCCTCCTCCAGCCCACCTGCTGCGCCCCATGCCCCCCACCCTGCTGTCAGCCCGACACCTTCATGCCCTCCTGCTGGCTGCTCAGCTCCTGCCACCAGACCGCTGGCCTGAGTGGGATCTCCCTGATGACCCACACTCAGCCTTGAAGCGAAGGGCCCTGTGGGCCCTGCTGCTGACAGCCACGTCTCCACAGACGCCAGCGAGGGGCTATACCATGTCCTACATCACCTGGGTGCCGCATCCACTGCCACCCAAGTCGCTGCCCACTGCGCAAGGACATCCAAAAGCCTTCACGCGTTCAGTGCTTTGCTGCTTGTTGTGTTCTACTCTCCTGGGTGTAGAGACCTCTCTTCTACAGGCCACTTCACTGCTCAGTGTTACAATAAATAAGACTACTAGTTAATAAACTTCATTTTCCTGGCTTAGCAAACGACAGTAACAACAGAAAAATAATGGGATAGACAAGAAATTTGCCAATGACATTTCCAGCAGTCTCAAGTTACTCCCTCTCACTGGAATCCCTACATCACTTCTCTCTTTTGTCCTGCAAGTTCTTTCCTTCTCCTGTGTCCTCGTTTTCATCTGCAAAACTCGGTCTTCTCTCTAACCTTTCTGTGTTTATTTCTCTCTGCACTCTGCTGGTGCCATATCCTTACAGGGAAAAGGCGTTCCCTCCTCTTTGTGCTGGCTCCACGTGGACGTGGGGGTGACCCATTCAGATCAGGAGGACGAGCAGCTCTCCAGGTAGACAAAGGAGGGAAATGAAAGGAGTCTGGGCCTCTGTAACTTTGTGGAACGGAACCCCCATACTACCCTGGACTTTGAGGTGAGAAGAAATAAACTTTTTCTCTTGTTGGTCAATATTACTTTAGATCTCTGTCATAGCAGCTGAACCCATAGCCCTAAACCATAAGATCTCCCAAGAAAACTGACCACCTCCACCTTCCCTGGTAAACCATGCCCCGATTCTCTCTTTGGAAAGCTCCATTCCACTGTACGCTCACACTTAATATCCAGGTGGCCTTTTATCCCCCATTCAATCTGACTTTACTATGTTTTAAGTCAGATTTATTGAGGTTTAATTTACATATACTAAAATTCACCCTTTTAAGGTACACAGTTGGGTTCATCTGGACAAATGAATACAGCTGTGTAACCACCACCACAGCCAAGACACAGTCCATTTCTATCACCCAAAAAACTTCCTCTTGGGCTTCCCTGGTGGCGCAGTGGTTGAGAGTCCACCTGCCGATGCAGGGGACACGGGTTCGTGCCCCGGTCCGGGAAGATCCCACGTGCCGCGGAGCAGCTGGGCCCGTGAGCCATGGCCGCTGAGCCTGCGTGTCCGGAGCCTGTGCTCCGCAACGGGAGAGCCACAACAGTGAGAGGCCCGCATACCGCAAAAAAAAAAAAAATTCCTCTTGTCCCTTTGAATCCCCTCCCCCACGCTGGCCCCTGGAAACCACTGCTCTGTTTTCTGTCCCTGTAGTTTTCCTTTTTCTAGAATGTCATATAAATGAACACATACAGTGTATAGTGTATCATGTATATGTGACCACAGTGACCTCCTTCACATAACATAATGTTTCGAGATCCATCCATGTTCCTGGATGGAAATCAAATCAATACTTGGTTCCTTTTTATTACTAAGTAGTATTTCATTGTATGGAGTTACCACAACCTGTCTATCATTCACCAGTTAATGGACATTTCCAGTTTTTGGCTCCTATGAATAACGCTGCTATGCACATTTGCATACAGGTCTTTGTGTGGATATCTGTTTTCATTTCTCTTTGGTAAATACTTTAGAAGTACAATTGCTGGGTCAAATTATTGGTTCTGTCTTAATATCCTCTCTTATTCATTCATAATGGTTTGTGTCCTCATCCTCAAGCCTACCTCTTCCCTCCCAATGCTAGACTTTCATCAG